TAAGCAAAATTGCTGAAATTTTTTGTTCACGTAAATTTGACCAATTACTGAGTAAAAGAAATTGCTTTTTTTTATTCACCTGACATAATGACTAAAAACGTTGGGCGCCCAAGGTTTTAAATGAAAAAGATATTTTATAAAATTATAAAGAACACTAAAAAAAAAAAAAGTTTCCCGAAGCGCCTCAACAGCTACATCTACAGCCTCTTGAAAAATTTGCAACCAAGAGCCCCTAATCTGTTTAAGATCTTCTAGCAGCTGCCTAATCAAACGTAGCTCATCATCAATGGAAATGGCCTCAGATTGTAGAAGACGACTAACGTCATTAACAGCAGTAAGAGTTTTGTACCAAATCGTAATTAGCAGTACAAATTCAAAAGATGATAACCATTTTTTTAATGCTCTTTCTTGGCTAAGCTGCTCACTGGTCAGATCTAGGTTTTCCATGGCATTTTTAAGAGCTGCTAGTATTTTTCTTGGTCTTTTGGCAAGTAGTTTGATTTGCGTCAGTACGAGAACTCCATCTTGTCATAGAAAGTCTATGCAGTGAAATTCCTGTTGCTTCAGTAAGGATCTTCCATCGGGCAGAGCTTGCACTAAAAAATGCGTATAAATATTCGAAATTTTCTAAAAAATAGTTTGATCTCAATGGCTGATTCAACTGTGTGCACACCAGTCAAATTTAGACTGTGAGCGTTACAGGGAACGTACAGAGCTTCTGAATAATTTTGTCTTATTAAGTCTTAAACTCCCTAATAAGCACCTGACATATTGGATCCATTATCGTATCCCTGACCGCGACAGTTTTGAATATCCAAACCTAGCCTTGCAATTAAATTAATGATAAGCTTGGCTATATCGAGTCTTTTCTTCTTCTCAAAGGCTTCAACACACAAAAATTTTCTTTGATTTGCCAGCGATCAGTTTCTCTTTCATAGGGAGAAAATAAATAACAAAGGTAATCTTCTCAGTGCAAGATGTATCGGGGGTACTATCGATTATGATGGTGAAGTAGATACCATCCTGGATTTCTTTGACAGCTGCATTTCGGATGAAACCACCACATTCTCTGATAAACTCATTTTGAGACGATGGTGAGAGGTAATGGGCACTCATTCTGTAGCCCTCTTGTTGATTGCGTCTCACATCTTTCAAGTGGGATGCAATGACAGGGTTGTGGCGACCAATAAGCTCCATACCAACAAGAAAGTTTCCATTTCTTTTCCCATTCACGTGTGTTGTTTTACCTGCAAACATAATTGTATAAAATAATCATAATTAAATTATTACGATAAATATATAAATAATGAAAACTGTTATCGAGAGTGCCTTATAATAAGGTACCTTAAAAAGCTAAATTCCTAGAAGCCAAGAAAAGAGTCACATCCAAAATTACACGAAGAATTGTCCTCCATTTAGCTGTCTCAGAATTAATTCGCTTTTGAAGCTCTGAATCTATACCAGTGGAGCTTTTTTTTTTTAGAAACACCTTAAAAGTTTTGTAATTTTTAAATAATTTGTAAACAAAGGTTTTAATATCATATTTCCGCATTCATACAGGTTGAAATTTTACTCGAAAAAAGCAAACTCTTTTATATAACAATCGGATAAAAGAACATAAATTAGTTTTATTCTACTTACGGTTTTGGAGTCGAAGTGTTGGTAACAGCCACTGATACTTGCATATTTGTTTTCTTTTGTTTAAAAGTATTTTATTGCCTTATTTTTTATTTAAAATGTATAGATTGAAAATATTTTATATATGATTATATTTTGTTCAAAAAATTTTTATTTCCAGCGAATTTGTTCTATTCAATAATTAAATATATATATATATATATATATATATATATATATATATATATATATATATATATATATATATATATATATATATATATATATATATATATATATATATATATATATATATATATATATATATATATATATATATATATATATATATATATATATATATATATATATATATATATATATATATATATATATATATATATATATATATATATATATATATATATATATATATATATATATATATATATATATATATATATATATATATATATATATATATATATATATATATATACATATATATACATTATAGATATTAGTAAAATCTTCGCCGATCAATTAGTTTATTGTGTTTTTCTCAAAATTATAAAAATGTGACTTGCGCTTTGTAGAAAAACGCTCTTCAATTGAAAAAGTAAGAAGCTGCCCAAAGTCCTTCATCACAATCTACACATTCACATTCTTAATTCTTTTCGGATTTTGTGTTTGTAACATACCACAAAAGCTTCTCACGTTATTTATTATTAAAAACACGTTGCTATTAGTATAGGTTTTAAAATACCTTTGTCTACATTTTATGCTTGCAAATTCTGATTTTAGGTCAATGGAATCCAATACCCGGTTTTCTATTTAAACGAAAGAAAAATGTAAAAGACTGAAAAAAGCTCTAAAAACAAGACATTCGTTCAATGTTGTGCACTGCAAGTAATCTCCAAGATATCCATGAGAGAGTTCAATTCAGAATAGATTTTCAATTCAAACAGAGAGTTCAATTCAGAATAGATTTTATTTTTTTCATCTATATTACTCATTAGTTTTTCCGTGATCTCATTAATGTCTGTAATCATTTAAAATCGCCCAGAGCTGCCCCACTGTTAATTTCATCATCGTAATGCTTCTTGTGTAATCTTGGGTGTCTTCCCCTCTTAAAGGCCCTGGGAACGAGTAAAAAGCATTTTGATGAAAACAAAAAAACAAGTAAAAATTTTATTTTCACAAAAGATTTATAATACAGTTAACTTTATCTTTTATTATGACAGAGCAGCCTATTGTCGATCCTTTAACTCGCGGGATTGCCAAAGTTGAAGTTTTTAAAGTTTTAACTGAAAAATATAAAATCAAACATCTTGTAAATGACAATCATAAGGTTTTTTTTAATACATCTTAATTATGTAAAATCACTAACCCTAGTAAACAAGCGAGTCAAAAATTATGAAAACATGCATTAAGTAAGTGCGTTATGTAGCAACATTAGTGTCTTTACGGGTAACCGCCTGTTCGTTAGACGGGTACCCACAAGGATTCTTACGATTTTTGACAGCCCTACCACTACACTACTACCGCATATGTTCACATGCATATTGATAAGCAAATTGCTTTACTATTTTGGGGTTAATGTATGATAAAGCCTACTTGACATTTTCAAGAGATCAACTAATTCTTTCTCTTTTTAATTACAAAATATTTGTGACTGTCTATAATTTGGAGCATATTAAATTTCACCAGTAGAGTTTTTCTAACATGTCATTTGAAAGTTGAAATTCAGCCAACTTTAGCAGTTCCACAAATACTTTTACCTTCTAAAACGTCATTCACAGCTGATTTTTTTTTTTTTTTTTATTGGTATTCTTTTTTGAGCACCTTCTCTCATCTTATATATTCTGGGCATATTAAATTCTAAAGTAAAAAAGTAATTTTCAAGATATGTAAGTTCATGAGAGAGTTGATCAAGTATTCCTAATTAATATATCCCATAAGGATTAAGTGATCCCAGTTTCAGAGACCATATTAGGGAGAAAACAACCAGCCATATCTTTTTTTTTTATAAAAAAAAAAAAAAAAAAAAAGACATGACTCATAATTAGTTGCACCTCTCGCATGAGAAATTAGGCAGGTTGTTTCTAATAGCACTTGTTTCCTATAATGCATTTAACCTTTGTTAATTGATAAATAAAGTTGTTTAATATTGATGCCGTTTTTAATCATAAGAACATAAAAAGTTTAAATTTTTTTAAATTATAGATATTTGGGTCTAATGGTCTTATATACGAATTGTAAATAAAATTTTCAACTTTGAAATGGCTGAAAGTTTTCTGAATAACTATAGATAATTGTAGCTAATCACAAAACTAACATGCAAAAATAAGTAGAAAGTACTACAGTTAACTTTATTTTGACATTTTTTTTAGCATTTTAATAGTTTTTTTTTTCTAAAATAATATATGGCAATTAAAACCACTTTTTAACAAGAAAACTAGATAATTGTTTTAAAATAATGAGATACTTGTTGATAATCAGAAAAGGTTTAAAGGAGGACTTTTCATGTAGCAGTTTTGTAGAAGCATATATATTCTTTCTTGATCAAACACTGATAACACTCACTTCTGAATTTAGTAATAACAATAATTTTGATTCTTGTTGTTTGAAACTTGTTTTAATGTAAAACTTCAAACTTAAGAAGACGAAGCTGTTCCTACTATTTTCAAATGGGAAAATAATCTGCACTGTGTAAACAACTCAAATATAAAGTCAAACTTCAACAACTTGAAATGCCAGTCAATATTGTATTTACTTAGTTAAACACAAATTCAAAATGTAAACAACTGTTTAGCTTAGTGGGTCAGCTCTGAATCAAAGCAATTTAAATGTTTTAAAAGATTCCACCTAAGAATCTCATAAAATTCATGACAAAATTACTAATTAAGTTTGGTAAACATTTAAAGAAGATAAACATATACATGGAAAAAAAAACAAATTAATAAGTGTTTCTGGATTCATTTAATATGCCTAATATTGTAACTGTTAGATTATATTGATTGTGCAAGTTCTTCTATTTTCAAGCTTAATTTATTCAACAATAAATCAAACAAGTTTAAAAACCAGATTTAAAAATAACAAGATACATTTTATAGTTAAAATTATTTTTGTTAGAAAATATTTTTTTACAATAGTAGTGAAAATAATAGTTTAGTAGGTTTAGTAATTTTATTATTTTTAATTATAATTAATATTAGTTGATATATATTTTATATAGTTTATATATATATTATTAGTTAATGATAATTTTAATTATAATTAATATTACTAATAATTTTTTATATATAATCAAATAATGGAGGTGCAAAATCTTTATAGCTACAATTTTTACATTTATATTAAAGTGGTACAGTTTTGTTTAGATTACAACACCTGCAGAAGCAAAGCAAGCAGGAACGTTTCGCAGAATAAATCTTGCTATTATGGAAGATGTTGTTAGCGAAGTAATATTATTATTGTTTAGTTGTTATAAATTGATTAAAATCTTTAATATATTTTATTCAAAAATAACTTATTCAAAAATATTTAATTTATAGTTAACTATCTTATTCAAAAATATTTAATGTTACATGATTTGCCAAAAGTAAAACTTTTATTAGTTTAGTGTTTTAAATGTAATAAAAATTATACATTTTAATTGAATAGGTGATGTGGCTTGGAGCAACTCAAAAAATAATTGAAAATTTAAAAAAATTCTAAAAATGATTAGTTAATTATTTTTTAAACATTTTGTATTTATAAAATATAAATTCAAGTGAAAAAAATTTTTTTGGGAATATTAGAAGTTTTATATTACTTCTATTACTACTTGTAAATTTTTTTTTTTGGGTAAATACTCTCATCTGCAAAAACAAAAATAATATTTAAGTTAAAGGAAAAAGAAGTGTTATTAGTGTTGTTGTCTAAATGTAAGACTTTTTTAAATATAAAATGTAATAATTATTTTTAAAACTCTTATACAATTTTGGTTCCTTTATGACCCAGTTTGACATAGTTTTAAAGAATTTTAAATAGTTTTGAGAAACTTTTCAGTAAATGATATTCAAGTCACATTTTTTGAAACACTTATTAAAATGTTTAAATGAAAAGTGAAATGTTTAAATTTAAAAAAGAAAAAAAAACAAAAAAAAAAAAATATGTTTTTGATTTGATATTTCTTTATAAAGTAAACCTTTTTTGTTGGTTGAGTTTTTTTAAAAGTTAAATAAATAGAATTTGCACTGTTTGATTTCTTTTATTTAGTTCAATTGGAAGGACCATCTTCAAGATTTATTTTATTCTGTTCATATATTACCAGATGAAGTTGTTCTAGCAACATCACCCAATTATTTGAAAAAAGTTGCTAATCTTATTAAAAAAACAGATAAAAGGTGATAATAATTTATTTTTTCTAAAGTATATGTATGTATATATATATTATATATATATATATATATATATATATATATATATATATTATATATATATATATATATATATATATATATATATATATATATATATATTTATGTATATATATTTATGTATATATATATATATATATATATATATATATATATATATATATATATATATATATATATATATATATATATATATATATATATATATATATATATATATATATATATATATATATATATATATATATATATATATATATATATATATATATATATATATATATATATATATATATATATATATATATATATATATATAGGGGCGTCTACTACTGTTTACTCAAGAGGCAGCTGCTTCATAAAATTCAAAACAGGGGGAAATTGAAATTTTACTCAAAACTTGGGGGGGGGGAGGTAATAAATATGCAATCAATTTAAACATTAAACTAATCTACATAAAAAAAAAATTCACTTAAATCAAACGCATCAATCATAAAAAAATTGAATGTCAGTCAATGTCGAAAATAAATCATAAAAAAATCAAATTTCAATGTTCTTTACTCGGTTTCTTTAAAAAGCTGAAAACAAATTGCTAAAACTAGATGTTTTTAAATTTACACATTGCATCATCAGAAAAGAATAGGCAAGTCGTATATGTGTATATCAAATGTTTGAAATTTTTTTCTACTGAAATGATGGCCATCCATGGTCTCAATTCCAAGGAGGGTAATTTTTTGCTTTTTTTTGAGAATTTTCTGAATTTGATGCTTCATTGACTAATTATTTAGAAATGTTGAATATTATTCGTTCAAATGATTTTTGTAAGAAACCGAAAATAAATCTATTAAGTCCACTTAATGTCCAGCGGTTGTTAACTACAATGAAAAATTTAGTTGTTGATACAATTGTGACAGGCGCGAGGAACCAAAAGGTGTGTTCCATTATTAGTGATGGAACCCAAGATAAATCTAAAATGCCTCATCTTACGTTATTTAGAAAATACACCTGCTGGTCCACGTCCAGTTGAGAGAGTAATTGAAATGTTTACAACAGGTGAAACATCTGGAAAAGTTCTGAGTGAGAGAATTTTATTCAATTTTATCAAGTATCAATGTCGAAATAAATTGGATTATTGGCCAAAGTAACAATGGCACAAATAACTGCAGAGGCAAATTAAATGGTCTTAAAACATTAATCCTTGAAAAGGCTCCAAAAGCCATGTATGTTTAATGCAGTGCACATTGATTAAATCTAGTTATTGAATCTGTTTTAAAATGTTGTTCTGAAATAACCAATGTTTTAGAAATTATTCAAAAACTGTATAATTTTTCTCAGGACACAAGCAACATTCTGTTTTTGTTGAAATGCAGCAGAATGCCAGATATACGAAATTGTTGAAAAGAGTTCCTGATATAACCCGGAAGTGGAAATCAGCAGAATACAGCATTAAATCCGTGCTTGATCATTATGACTGCATTGTTGATGCTTTGGAATTTTTGTCAACAAATATTCATGACTCAGAGACAACAAATTCAGCAAATAAATCAAATTGCATCAGCAATCAAATTGCATTTGAAAAATTATTGTCTACAATGGAGAATAACAGTTTAAATAAGTATTTAATTTGAATTCACAATCAAATAATTTTTCAAATTGCATTTGAATTTAATTTGAATTCACAATCAAATAATTTTTCAAATTGCATTTGAAAAATTATCGTCTACAATGGAGAATAACAGTTTAAATAAGTATTTAATTTGAATTCACAATCAAATAGAATTCCAGTTAAATGCAAATAAAATTCCATGCAAAGTTTCCTTAAGATAAAAAGATTTTTTAAATCAATTAAATAGAAATAAAGATAATAAAATTAACTTGGTAACGATTTAATTTAAAAAACAAGTAATCCTTATAATTCTGTTGTTTTATTTTTTTAAATAGTTTAATTTTATTTTTTAAACTGTTTGGGTAACATTTCTTAACTCAATTTTTATTTAACCACATTTAAATATAACATTTATTTATAAGCTCTCTGATTTCTGACAGATTTTTTCAGTAATCATTTCTGTATATCAGATAAATTTTATTTTATCTATTATTGAAAAGTTTAAATTCATAGCCCAAAAACAGATAAAAATTTATATGCATCAACAAAGCGATGCGCTATTCAAGTAAAAGTTATTCTAAAGGCTGTGTTGTGGAAAAGAATTGTGCATAATAATTTTGATATATATTAGTTACTAATATAATTATATTATAACTAATATGTTATATACTATATACTAATATAATATATACTATATATATAATATATACTAATATAATTATATTCATAATATTTTTGATATATATTATTTTTTAATTCTGATTTTTTTATCAGACTTCTCTCACGTTATATGATGTGGCAAATGTTAAGAGATAAAATCAGTTTTCTTTCTGATGACTTTCGAAAAGCTAGAGCTGAATTTAATCAAAAAATGACTGGTGTTGAAGATACAGAACCTCGCTGGAGAAAGTGCATAAGTATGACAAATGAAAATATGGGTATTCCAATTGGAGCCTTATATATAGAAAAATACTTTAGTGAAAGTACAAAAACAAAGGTATTTGGTAGAGTCTTGTATATAATGTGAAAACAAATTTCACATAAAATACAAGCCTTGGCTGGAATAGCAAGTTATAGCTTGAGTATGTAGCAATTTATAGATCCTGTGAAAGAAAAAAATCAACTAAGTATTTAGATTCATAAGTTTCTTTTAAATGAGATTTTAAACTGTAATAACAAAATTTATTTGGAATAAATTAAAACATTATTGTTGACTAGATAAAACTGATTTAAATCAATAACTTGCACACAAACTAATATCTTAATCAAAACCCAACTTTAACAAATTAACTGCCTCAGCTTGTCTTTTGCATTTTATACAAGCAATTCTCTGTTCATTTTATACAAGCTATTCTTGCACTCATTAACTCCAGCCAAAGCTTATATATATATATATATATATATATATATATATATAAATATATATATATATATATATATATATATATATATATATATATATATATATATATATATATATATATATATATATATATATATATATATATATATATATAAAAGTTCTTATGCTAATCTGCTGCACTATACAGTGCAGCAGATTAGCATAACAATTGATTAAGAATGGATAAAAACATGAAACTTTTATTAGATGTAAAAAATAAGTATATAATGCATTTAAGATATGGTGGCACATCCAGTTTTACGGAAAAAGTATATATCAGTTTTTACCAAAAAGGTGTATTAGAACCACATACTCAGGCTTGGTCGGGAAGTGGGAGCGATTGCTCTTGAATACTGACCACGAAAATAATATTTAGTTGCAAAAAACTGGCCAGATTTTTTAGTTATTTTGAGAACATTTAAGTTTATGTACTTAACAAAAAAATTTTGTTTTACGGACATACATGAAAGCATAATAAACTTAAATATTCACAAAACATCTTGATGCGGAAGAATAAAAAGAGTATTCGCGAACACAAAAAATCCGCCAAATTTACAAACAAACTAATTGTATTGGTTCAAAAAATACGCTGTCTAAGCGAAATAAAGTTCTATAGTATTCCATTGAAATGTTTTAGAAAAAAATTTATTCACGATTTATTACATTATGAGATTTCTAGCATAAATTGTTTTAAGAATATATTATCAATAATGACTCATTCTCAGAGCCACATCTGCAAAGTCATAAATCTTTTAAACTATTATCATTTGTTTACAAAAATAAGTGTTTTATAATATATATTTTTTAAATTGTCAAAATTTTGAAAGTTTGTTATAAATTATAGATTTTAATAATATATTCTTGTTTTTTATTTAAAAAGTATTTTTTTTAATGTAAATTTTAATTTTGTGCATCTGTTTTTTATCGTAATATAATCTTTTAAAGCAATTTTAATGATTTTATTTGTAAACAAAGGCTAACAAAAATAATTGCTTTTCAATGAAGTTAATAATAATTATCAAAGTTAATAAAACTATTTATGTAACAAACATATAAGAAGTTTCTAGTTACTAAACACAAACAATGCATACAAAGTTTCGCGGATGAACAAGCACCACACCTGAGGTCACCACAGAACACAAGTATAGCAAGCTATTAGATATAAAGAAAAGTTTCTAGATATTGGTTTACTAACTCTAATTATTTTCGGTTCAGTTGCCATTCTTAAAAACTTGCTTTTTTCTGCTTTAAATACTAATTAAAAAGCCCACTCACTAAACATCATCAGCGATATTGTGAAGCAGTTTTGCTTCCTCGTCATAAAGTATTTTTAACCTCATTCAATGATTTAATTATTTTATTTGTTCATCTTACTAAGAAGAATTGTTTCAAATATGTTAAACTTTTCAAACTACGCGAAGTAAAAAAGGTCTTAAAAAAATAACTTTTTTATTTTTAAAATAATTTAGCTTAGATAAAACTAAAACTTGCGTTAGTTTTATTAGAATCTTGTTAGACTTTTCGGGGCCAGGGGCAATTTTTGTTTTGGATGCGTTTGTATGTGCCACAGTGTAAAAATGACTAAACGAAAAGATCTTCTTGAATTATTTAAGGCCACAACATTGCGGGGTATGGGGCTTTAGCCCCCTAATTCCAACCCTCCTTAATCTAGCTCTGAAAATTAGACACAAGTATATAAATAAAAATTATATTACACTCTTTGCTAAATAAAAAACATTTGTTTCTTTTTTAAAAATTGTAACAATGTATATATATATATATATATATATATATATATATATATATATATATATATATATATATATATATATATATATATATATATATATATATTTATATATATATATATATATATATATATATATATATATATATATATGTATATATATATATATATATATATATATTTATATATATATATATATATATATATATATATATATATATATATATATATATATATATATATATATATATATATATATATATATATATATATATTATAGGGCTCTATATACTCAATCTTTTTCTACAGCAAACAAGGTTTTTAAAGGCCCTAATCCGATTGACTGGGCAAAATGTATTTTTTGCCAAAGTACCTCTGCATACAAGTTGATTTTCCCCACTAATTTTAAGCATTTAGATTGTTTGACAGGTTACAAATCACTTGCTAAAATCTTACCCCAATTTGTGCAAGCAGATTTGCTACCGCCTGTTTTTATATTCAGCAATTAGATGACAACAATGGCTTTGAAAGTACTTTTATATCCAACAAAGCTAAGTAATACATAAACCATGTAGGATGTTTTACTATTCTACTGAACTCAATCAAGCAGCTAAACATTTTCGTTGCGCTTCCCTAGCTGCAGAGGATGAATCTTTATTAAATGAAGCCAAAGCACTTAAGGTTGAGCACAGTTCATTCAAGAGATCTATGTCCAGTGATATGAGAAAATCAAATTTGGTTTACATACAACCGGTTTGTTTTATTTGTGATACCAGTGAGTCAAAAGACTCATTGCACAATGTACACAGATCTGGATATTAAAGTCTGGGAGTGTTCTTTTACATTGGGTGACTCTACATTATTGACCAAGTTGAGCAACACAGATTTAATTGCTCAAGAGGCCAAGTATCATACTAAATGTCTCAATAAACTGTACAACAAAAAATGAGCTTTTGATAGATGCTTGCATGCTGAAACGCAACAAGTAGACAATGAAGTTGACTGTGCACATTTTAATGTTTTTGCTCAGTTAATTGCTTACATTGAAGAAACAAGGTCAGAGAATGGTATTGCACCCATCTTCAAACTAACTAATCTAGCTAGACTATATGCTTATCACTTGTTCCAAATAACTGAAAGTAAGCAACATACACCAACTCAGCATATGAATAGCACACATTTAAAAGAAAGACTACAAGCCATTTTCCTAACATGTATGCACAACAGGACGGTAGAGATGTTTTACTTATTTTCAATTGTGAGATTGGTCCAGCACTTCTTAAAGCCTGTCAATATGACTGTGATCGTGATGCTGTGTGTTTCTCAAAGGCTGCGCAGATTATATGCCAAACTATATTTGATACTGCTGAACCTTTTACAGTTACATTTCAGCCAGTGCAGGCCTTCTTGTAAAAGGCATGCGATCGTACGCCTTATATAACCTTTGCATGTTTTGATAATTAGCGCATTTAAAAAATCCGTTTAAAAAAATAAAGCAATTTCAAATTAAAATTTTTTTCAATACAATTTTGCAATCAGTAGTTTTTTATTTATTATGAAAAACACATTTAAAATGAAAAACAATTAATTTCAGAGACTTTAAAAAAAAAATGCCGAAACATAATTACTTTTTTCAATAGCGTCACTTTTAAGTAAAATAACTAAGTACGCTATAGAAGAAAGTAATTATGTTTTAGCATGGCTTTTGCATGCGCTCACATCAAAGTAAGTATAATTTTACTTAAAATGAATGCTTTGCAAAAACTTCAAAAGAAACCGTGTATAAACATTTCGATTTCTTTCTTTTATTAAAGAAAGCTATCATAATGTTTAAGCATGGTTTCTTTTATGTTTTTAGCAATTACATCAAAAATTTAAAGCAAATGAATTCATTATAAATAAAATTTTACATGCTTTTTTTTTAATTTTCTTATTTTTCATAAAGTGAAATAATGTTTGTTCGCATATAAAAACACTTTTAAAAGTTTTTTTTATTGAGCATTTATCATTAATTTAAGCGCACTTTGCAAATGTGTAAAAAAAAAAGTTTGTGAAAAATAAAAAATTGAATAAATTTACCAAGCATCTTTGATAAATGTGATAACTTATTAACTAAATAAAAATTATTTGAAATTTATTTGACATAAATCTCTTAAATTAGACATGCATCAATAAATAAAGATAAGCAAGTCAACATTTATTTAAAAAAAAAACGATATGTTGCGTCCTGGGATAAAAATAGTTGGCAGATGCGATTGTTTTAAGATTATTGTAATTCTTTTTTTTAGAAATTATATTTCCATGATAAAACGATTTGTAATTATTTTTTGATAGCTTCTGTACTCATTTTGCCTTTACTAACTCTAATCTCTATTAACTCTAATCTGAATCTAATCTAATCTTTATTAACTCTAATCTGAATATTTAATCTATCTGAATATTTAATCTGAATATTTAATCTTGAATATTTAATTAAATATTTAATATTGAATATTTAATCTGAATATTTAATCTGAATATCTAATCTTAATTAAATCTAATCTGAATATTTTTTTCAATGATTGCCTTTTATTAAGTTGCATTAAAGTACTCAGGAAATTTTGTGGCAGTTCAATTGTAATTATGGAATCAATTAAATTAAAAATCGCATTTACATTTGCTTTTTTTTTTTAGCACATTTTTTTAACGCGCTAATTATCAAAACTTGCTAAGAGCCATGGTCAAGTTGTTAAAACAAAGAACTATATACGTGGTCATATAAGACATTCGATCACACGCCTCTTAGGAGAAAGCCTGCAGGGTGTCAGAAAAAGTCAGTATCAAAAACCTCCTTGCACTCGTTAATATGATACTAGAAGGTCCCAGCATTGACATACAAACCAAGACAAATAACACTCCTGCTGCACTTACTATAAGCCAGCTACTTACTTTTAATAGTGTGAAACAAAAGCGATCAGAAAAATCTAACTCTTCTGTTGTTAAAATTAGATGAATTCAATCACAAGAAACTCCATTACCTCTGTATGTTAGTTTACTTGTGCATGGAACTACAAGAAAACAATCACTTGTTGATGAGTTGTTTCATCTTGGTTTAAGTGTATCATATGATCGAGTACTTGCACTGACAACTGAACTAGGAAATAAAGTGTGTGATCAGTATATCAGTGATCAAGTTTTGTATCCTCTGAAACTGAGAAAACAATTGTTTACTGTTGCAGCTGTCAATAATATTGACCAAAACACCACAGCAACAACAGCTGGTGGAGCATTCCATGGGACAGCTATTTCATTAGCTCAGCTAATAACCTAATAATTACAGTATTGGAGTTCAATGCAATGTTATGTTGCTTCTTAACTTGCGTGGTAGTAAGAAAAAAATCTCTTCCGGAATCATACTCAAATGTTACCCCAGTTAGGCTTAAAAATGATCAACGAGCTATACTTGTCAGCAGTGGTCCATTTACAGGTAGTGGTGCTGTGTGGGAACAAGAACTCAATAAAGAGTATTTGTGGCTTGAAACTGTTAGACAGGTTCATGATGCTGATAACTTAACTGACAATTTGCAATCAGTGAAATGGCTTTCATAGTCGGCATATCATGCCAATAACATTATCAATCCAAATATGAATTTATTAATAGTTTCATTGTTGCCACTATTTCAGGATTCTTCCAATAGTGTTGCGATGATCCGACACTCAATGGATGTAATAAAAAATTCTATCTATCATCTTCATTCTGAACAGGTCCCTTTTATTACGTTTAATCAACCGCTGTATCCTATTGCTAAAACTATTGGAACTGGCCTGATTTGTATGGTAAAGATAAATTCGTTGTTATGATGGATGGCCTGCTCATAGAAATGGCTTGTCTTAAAGCGCTTGGTAGGCTTCTTAAAGAAAAGCGGCTGGGTTGAGGCTTTTACTGCAGCTGGAATTGTAACATCAGGCACCGCTGAAGCTCTTTGTAAAACATTGTCGGTATGTACATGAAATTTCTGTTTCTGCAAATCATATACTACAGCATCAAGCATATGAGTCCTATTGTAGTTTGCTTAATGATGGCGTTCAACGGTTGCCTTTCACTAGCTAGTCGTAAAGCAAATGGCTCATCCATCGTTTGCTTATTGGAGTACAGTCAAAGAAGTTTAGATTATTTTGCTTATGCTTATCAGGTCTCTGTGTACTTCAAATTTCGATCTATACTTAGAAAGCTTGACAAAACTGGTACCATGGTTTTTTTCACTTGATCAAACTCATTATGCTCGATGGTTATCTGTGCACATTCGAGACATGGTTTGTCTTTTGCAGAATAGTCCATCAACTTTAGCTGCATTTAATGCCAGAAAATTTACTGTTAAAAAAACTGTACGAAAGTTTTCTGCATTGGCTATTGATCAAAGCCATCAACAATACAACGCTGTAGTTAAAGGTGATGGTGGTGCTGTTGGTTTAACACAAAACGAACAGGCATTGGTTTAACACAAGATGAACATGCATTGCATTTTAGGGATGTATGCACTACTAAAGCGCAACAATTTGTCCCCATTTACAACTGGGCAATCAGCAATTGTGTCTAATATTAACAAATGCTTGAAATCCACGCAAAGTGACTTTTCTTTGTTATATATTGACTGCCAAACTTGAGACAGGAGATTGAAAACATTTTTTGAGCATGAAAATCAGTCATATCCCTCTTCAATCTCTGAGTTTAGAACTCTACGATTCGGAGCCAAGTCTGATTTGGCTCCATGCTTAGAAAAAATTACCCAAAGCATTGACATTGATCCTTACACACCTACATTTGATATGATGGCTCTTGATGGAGCTGTGATTTTTCAGTTATTGAAGCCTGATAAGGCTAAGATCTTTGCATCTTATGCATCAGACATATTCTTGCCTTATCTTCTTTTACAAATTGCTACAATGCAACGGCTAGATCTTGTCTGGGACACCTATAAAGCTCAAAGCTTGAAATCAAAACGAGGAACTGGAGCCAGAGTATGTATTGGACCACAAGTGTCTGTCCCACATAAATGTCAAGAATTTCTAAAGGATGATCACAATAAAACAGAGCTTTTTCAATTTTTATTTGAAAAAGCAGTTTCAATTCAATTACCCAAGTCAAAAGTTATAATTGCCACTGCTGGGGAACATCTTCTGTCTTCTAGCTCTTGTACCTTTGATAATCTTGAACCATATTCTCATGAAGAGACTGATACTCGCCTCATTTTACATGCATATCATGCAGCAAAGGCTTGTTACAAGAATATTGCAATATGCACAGTACATACAGATTTTCTTATCATAGCAATATCTTTTTGGCACAAAATTTTATGCAATTAGCTGTGGATTGCATTTGGCACTGGAAAGCATTTCCGCTACACTGCAGTACATGAAATAGCCAACAGTCTTGGACCATTAAAATTAAAACCTTAACGGTTTTCTATGCTTTTACTGGTAACAATACAACCTCCGCTTTTTGTGGTAAAGGTGAAAAAACAGCATGGTCTACTTGGTCTTCTTTCAATGATGTAACTGATGCATTTTTGGCACTTTCTGCAGCTAATGATCCAATAACCGATGAAACATTATTGTTACTTGAAAGATTTGTCATTTTATTGTATGACCGAACTGCTGAGCAAACAATTGTAAATTCTGCAAGGCAGTATTTTTTTTACTCAAAAGAATTGTCAGATTGGCAACATTTCACCCACGCATTATGCACTAATGCAGCATGTTAAGCGTGCAGCGTATCAGGCGTATATTTGGAGTCAAGCAGTGATAGTATTGCCGACTTTACATAGCCTAAGTGAATGGGGTTGGAAGCTAGAAGAAAATGATTGGCATTTAATATGAATCACGCTTTCTGAAGTTGATAAATGCTTTCCTGAGTTAATTCAGTACAGATGTAAGACAGATTGTACAACACGCCACTGTAAATGTATTTGTAACAGCTTAAAATGTACTGCTCTTTGCAGCTGTCAAGGAAAGTGTACCAGAGATTGAAATCCAGCAATGTGTAGATTAATATTAACTAATATGCTTATTAAAAGTCATTTTGATTTCTTAGCTGCTGTAAATTTTGATTCAGTAGCAAGTTTTTTAAAAACATATATATTTAAAAAAAAAAATTCCTAGAATGGAGGCGCATTTTTTTGGGCAAGAGGGCCGTGCCCAAGCCCTCCTACCCCTCATTTGCGCATCTGCAGTCAATGTATACTTCCTATGATTTAACATCCCTAAGATTTTGACAAAGATTAGTTAAACAGTTTAAAGTTTATTAAGGTTTTTAGAAATCCAAGTTGGCTGTAACTGCTATCATTGATTTAAGCCTGTTCTGGCCATGCTATGGTGTGCCACCATATCTTAAAATGATCAGCATAATTTTCTTGCAGGTGAAAATTTCATGCTTTTATCCACTTGTGCACAATTTCAGTCATTTTTAATGCTAATCTGCTGCACTGTATATATATATATATATATATATATATATATATATATATATATATATATATATATATATATATATATTAAATTTTAAATTTAATAAAACTATTAAAAGAATTTTTTTTTATTGAAATGAACAACAACATTTGATCAAATATTTTTCAGACAAATGATATGATTGATGAAATAGTTGAAGCATTTAAATCACGCATAGATAACCATGACTGGATTGATGGTAAGACAAGAAAAGGTGTTATACAAAAGGTATATTCATAAATCACTGAGATACTGAAATAGTTATATTGCCATTTATATATAATTGTCATTAAATATAGATGATAAAAAATGTTCAATACAAATCATTTAGATTCAATAAGATTTTCTTTTTCAGTAATTTAAATAAAAATTTCTTCTCATAACTCAATTAAGTTTTAGCACTATTTTAGAGAATATTTTAACATTTTCATTTTCCTTATCAAGTTATTTGCAAATATATTAAATTTCAAAACCAAAAGTCAAAAATATATTTTCGTTATATTAAAAATCTAAAATTGCACTCTATTTTTAGGTGGATGCTTTGGTTGCAAAAGTAGGTTATGCATCGTATATTAAAAAACCGTTAGAGTTGAACAAACGTTTTCGAAAAGTATAAAGATTATTTACTTTTTTTAACAAATTAAATTTTGAATTTTTTTTTTAAATAAAAAAATTCTTTTTAGTTAAAAATTGATGAAGATAAGTTCTTTGAAAACAACTTAAATGTAGACAAGTGGTTACGCTACCGGCTTTATGACAAATTACGCAAACCTGTTGACAAGACAAAGTTTGACTAAAATTTTTTTCATATTTTTGTATAATTAGTACATTTCATATTTAGTATGTGCAATTATTATTATCATTAATATTTTGTTTATTATTTTTTTAAATACTTATCTAGGTGGCCTATGTTTCCTCAGACTATTAATGCTATGTATCAGTTTTATGAAAATGAAATAGGTATGCTTACTTTTGTGTGTTTGTGTCCATTAGGGTTGCTCTTTAAACAATATTTTTGAGAAATGTTTTCTCTCACTTCCTAAATACTTTCTGTATATTAAAGTAACAGCAAGTTTTACAAATGTTCTTTTTAAAACTATTTTTAAGGATAGTTATGTGCCTTAAATATCAGGCCAAATATTATTTGAAATAAATTTCTTCATAGTTAATTAACCTGGGTCTCAAAAGAAAGAGAAGTCTATAAAAATAGAATTACAATAATCATTGTATGCACTATAGATCAATGAAATCACCAGGTTTTACTGTCAATCAAATGAAACCTTTTTTATGCAAGAGTATTTGTCTTATAACATTAAAAATAGTTTTTTTAAAATCTAAACAAAGTGCTATGAGTCATAAACAGTGCAAAAGGGTAAAATTAAGGGGCTCTCAGCCCATTTGAGCTTTCTAAATGCATATTGCAAAAAAAAATTATCCAAGAGTATTTGTTTTGAAATAGAAAAAACCCTTTATAAAATCAGAAAAAATGCTCTTCTCTTAAAATGAAAAAAGGGTCACAAATAGGGCAAAGGGTAAAATTGAGGAGGGCTTGAGCCCCTTTAAGCATTTTACATACTCGTTATAAAAAAAAATTTAATAGTTTTTAAATATTCTAAGTAAAATGTAAAACAACAAAAATATTTAACAATATTAATGTACATGTGGTATAGAATCCAATAAAAATTAAAATTATTTTTTCCTGCTCCAGAGCAGTATGGAAAAATTAATACTATATTAAACTCTTCTTCCATTAAAACTAACAACATAATCACTGTAGCAAAACTCTTCAGCAAAATGTCTAGAATAGGCTCTTTTAATACTTCTTTACATCTCTTACGTTAATCTTTTAATTTCTTTTAATCTCACCTTTACATCTCAGTTTTCTCAACTTAAATCAATAGTTCAGTCAATGAAAGACTATAAAAAAATGAAAATTTATTGTTTTTGTCAAATTCTTGCGACTGAATATAAGTTAGCATTTACTATATTAAAAAACCTATCTACTCAAGATTCCTATCATTCAAGTTTTCTAAACAGTTTACTCTCAGTTTGCCGAGCAGTGTGCGAAATTCATTCTAAATTGAAGCCTAAATAAAATAGATTTAAACTTGTAAAAGAGTATACTCAAAATTGAGAGTAAATTAACACTTAGTTTTACTAGAAAAAGAGTTTATTTTAGCATTTATTTTTACATACTGCCCCAAAGTAGAACGAAGAATTATTAGGTTTTTATTGGATTATGTACCTTATATACATTAATAAAGTAAATATTTTAAAATGTTTTTGTTGTTAAATTTTATTTAATTAATGTGAAATTGAATATAATTTTTTTTTTTTACAGGCATCTAAAATGCTTAAATTTATGCTCAGTTTTACATTTCTCCTTTATAAATGCTCTTTACTTTTTACGAGGTGTGTTCAAAAATTAAGGTGACTTTGTATTTTTAAGAAAAAATATTTATTTATTTATCAATATTTATTTTGTCCCCTTCAAAGTAATCCCCCTCAGATAAAATACACTTATGCCAACGGTTTTTCCAATCCTCAAAGCACTTCTCATAAGCACTTTTTGGTATAGCCTTGAGCTCTTCCAGCGATGCAGTCTTTATCTCTTTGTTGCAAATCTTCGTCCTTTCATAGGTATCTTTAGTTTTGGGAACAAGAAAAAGTCACATGGGGCTAAATCTGGTGAATATGATGGCTGAGGCATGATTGAGGTGTTGTTTTTGGCCAAAAAATCTCTCACAAGCAAAGATGAGTGAGCAGGGGCATTATCGTGATGCAAAAGCCATGAATTGTTTTTCCACAATTCTGGACGTTTTCTTCGTATTGCTTCTCGCAAATGGCGCATAACTTCAAGATAATACGTGCTTTTTTCGGTCTTGGCTCGCCTGGGCTCTTCCATTGGGACAATTGGGCTTTGGTTTCAATATCATAACCATATATCCATGATTTGTTACCAGTTATGACCTTTTTGAGTAAATCTGGGTCGTCGTTGACGTCATTCAACAGTTCTTGAGCGATACTCATGCAACGGTTCTTTTGGTCAAAATTGAGCAATTTTGGAACAAACTTGGCTGACACACGTCTCATGTCCAAAACGTCAGAAAAAATTTCATTGCACGAGCCAAGCGATATACCAACATCCTCAGCAACCAACATGACAAAACAATAAAATCATGTACCAACATGACAAAACAATAAAATCGATAATCGAAAGTGTGTTGCTTGCGAAATTTGAAAAGTCACCTTAATTTTTGAACACACCTCGTATATAGAACAAAACTCTTTTGATAAATGTTTTTGTAGCTTTTTAAAAGCTTTTAGTCATTTTATTACATAGAACATGTTTAGAAAGTTAAAGCAAGATGGTATGTCTTAAATACCATCCTTGCATTCATGATTACTTATGTTTGTGCTTGTTATTTTTAAACATTTTAATGACAAAAATTATAAAGTAAATATTTAATATATATTTATGTTATCTTATATATTTTAATATATATTTATGTTATCTTATATATTTTAATATATATTTATGTTATTTTATATATTTTAATATATATTTATGTTATCTTATATATTTTAATATATATTTATGTTATCTTATATTTTTTTAGTATTGCATTAAACTAATAAAATATTATCTAAAAAATAATGAAATTTAGTGATTCCTGCTGGAATTTTACAACCACCATTTTTTTACACAGGAGATGTTCCCAGGTATATATTTAACTCTTATGTTGAAATATTTATTTATACTTCTTTTATGATTTAATATTGTACTTTTATTTTTGAATCCGGAGTTGATAGAAAACAAAGAAAAGATTTAAAGAGCAAAGAAACAGTTGACAGACTTGAAAAGTTGTAGGTTGTGTTAGTCAAAAAAACACAAAGATGAGAGACAAAGTTCTAAAGTTTTAGAGCATGTAGGGACAGATACAGTAAAATGATGTGACTTTGCATAACAATAAGTCAAGCAAGAATGAGTTTTTGTTGAAGGAACTAGAAATAATAACTCTTTTGAGCAGCATCCATGAGTCTTTCTAGAAAAGAGAAAGAGATGTAACTTTACAATGATGAGATAGAGGCTCAAGCTTGGCAGATAAAACAGGCCCAACTATGTTTATAATGCGTTTTTTGACTTTAAAAAACGTCTAAAAAAGAAAGAGCATCATTAGAAGAACCAGTCCAAAAATGACAATAGTATACCATACAGGGGCAAATAAGAGATTTTTTGAGGTAACAGTCTGTTTTTTTCAAAATCTAATCAGGAGTAAGATAATGGTGAGCATGATAAAGAGAAGCAAGATACTATTTAGCAGATGCTAACTTAGCAATTGTCTATATGGTTTCCATCAGAGGTTAGTTGGAATTGATAATCCAATAATATGTAAAGAAAAGGACTCAGTGAGAGGTTTTTATTTAATAATATAGGAATATTGACAGTGTTGCGATAGTTGACAATGGCTCAATAGCTGGGATAAAAATCTTGAAGAACTTAATGATCAAGTGAAATCATTGAAATCCTTTTTAAAATATTTGCAGATAAATACTAATAGTTAGGTTGAAAATAAAGCTTAAATTCTACAAAATCCAAATTAAATTAGTTATCTACTGTGGCAGACTGGTCCATTTTCAAGCATTGCTACTTTTAGAGGCAGATCTCTAGTCTATATTGCTTGAAAAATTTTGACAGGCATAACTTTGGTTTTAGCAAAACAGAAGAAGAATTTTTTCTACTCATTGCATGAACATACCAATCATTCATTACTTATATTTGATAATTGCAAGACTAGCTTGAATTATGAGCATAGTTAGAATTAATTATAGTTCTAACTTGAACACTTATATTTAAAAATATTTAACTTACTTTAATAGTTTTATACAATACAATATATTTATATATATAAATATATATAAATATATATATATATATATATATATATATATATATATATATATATATATATATATATATATATATATATATATATATATATATATATACACTATTTTAGGTCGCTAAGCTATGGTGCTATTGGTTCAATAATTGGCCATGAACTAACTCATGGATTTGATAACACTGGTATATTTTGACATTTTTATATCTAAAGAGTTAGTAAAATGTAAATATTAAAATAATCAAACATATCAATTGTAAAGTATTAAACATTTTCAAATTAGATTCCTAAAAAAGTTTGTATAAAAAAATTTGAAATTTTAATCTTCTCCATTTTTGAAAAGCCTACATTTTTGTAGGCAGTTGTCTAATGTATTATTCAGTAGCCTCTAGCTGCAAAACTGTTTTATTTATTTTTACTTACGCAATAGTATTTTTCAACATCTATCTACTTATCTATCTTCTAAGCATTTATTAAATAAATCATTGATAATTTGTTGTTTAACTTATTGAATATCGCTCTTAAACTTATTTTTTTTTCTCCTGTTTTTCAAGTATAAAAACTCAACTGCTTTTAAAAACGACCTGTTTTAAATATAATACCTGATTTAAAAAAAGTCTCTGATTTTAAAAATAATATAAAAAAAGATGTTAGTATATAAAATATATGTATAAAAAGATCTTTCTAATGTTACCCCACAGAGTTTAAATTCAATCCAAAATATTGAGGTTCAAATCACCAACCATGTAAACAGTTTTTTTACAATCGAATTATTTTTAATAACGCTCTAAATGTTCAAACTCTTTAGTTGATCTAGTTGATTTAGTTGATCCAGATTTAGATGATTTAGTTGATCCAGAAGTCTGTATAAGAAGGTATTCTGTATAAGAAGGTAATATGTATAAGGTATTCTGTTTAAAGCACAGTCAATACAGAGCTGATGACACCGGGGGGTCTCCCCACCTTTTTTTGTATTTTTTAATCTTTTCTTTTATGTCTATATGAGGTTTTCACTTTTTTTTGCAATCATGCAAAAAAAAGTGAAACCTCTGAACTTTCACCCACTTAAGTCTGATAGATTGGTTACAAAAGCACACAACTTATTTGCATCTTTATATTCAGAAAAGTTCACATGCATACACTAATTTTAAGAATGAGGAAAATGATCTATTAGAACATGTTGTAGTATATACATATTCAATTTGTAGGGCGCAAATTTGATAAAAATGGAAATATTGTGAAAAACTGGTGGTCTGAAAATAGTTTAGAAGAATTCATGGAGAGATCAAAATGTTTTGTGGACCAGTATAGCAATTACAAAGTTCAAGATAAATATAATGTATAATATTTTATTTAAAATGTTAAAAAGATGTTTTATTCAAATGTTTTTTACATAACTATTTAACATAGACTTTCATCATAAACAAAATTCTTTAGATAAGTGGAAAATTAACTCTCGGGGAAAATATTGCTGATAATGGAGGTGTAAAAATTTCTTTTCAGGTATATCAATTATTTTTTGAATGTATAAAATTTTTGTTAGTTATAAATATTAAAAAGAAAGTATTTATGTAAACAGACTTAGATTTGACTGGAAGTGGGGGGGGGGGTACCAACTGTTTACATTAGCAAAATAAATTTTATTATCTGATACTATATTATATATTATATTTATGAACCTTTCTTGTCTCAGTAAAAAAATAGTGAAAAATTTAATTATTGGTTTTAATAAAATAAATTAAAAAAAAAAAAAAATTAAAGCAATATCCTTTATTTGTATTTGTATTTACATGTAAATACTTTTTTTTCAACTTTAGTACATGTATTTTTTATCATTAAAGGCTTATTATATAAATAAAGTAATCCAGCCAAAGCAGGTTGAGATTATTTCAAACAGAGACATACAATCTTTTAAAATTCTGTTTAACTCATATTAAAATGTCTTGTAGGTTAATTTTGCATGATGGTATAATTTTTTTCCATGTAATTGTATTATTCTTTCTGATAAGATTAAACTGGGGCAATTTTTTTTATGCAATGAGTTTACTAACTTTTTATTGTTTTAAAACCTAGTTAATAATAATAATGTGTAATGGCAGGATAAAAAAAAGGTGTTAAGATAAAGGTGTTAAGATAAAAGTGTTTTAAAAAAGGTGTTAAGATAAAGGTGTTAAAATAAAGGTGTTAACATTTTTTTAACACCTTTATCTTAACATCTTTATTTTAATACCTTTTTTGACATACAAGTGTCAAAAATAGGTGTTAAGAAATAAGTTTTGTGATAAAAGTAGAAATAATATTAGTAAGTTTAGATTTAATTTGTCAGATTTCTTGAGGATTACCAGCTGTATCAAATATTTCTGAAAATATTGATATAGAAACTGCTTATAGTGCAAATGAATTTAAAAAAAAAAAATTTGAAAAAAACAATAAAGGTTGTTAATAGTTGATAACAAACAAAAGCTCCTAGAAACAAAGTTATCTGCAAGACAAAAAATACTATATTACACAATGTTGATCAATAAAAATTACATTGCAAAGAGAAATTGTTATTAAATTAAAATAATTCAAGTTAATTTATTTTTATAATTTAAATTAAACTATTTAAATTTAATTTATTCATCTCCTTAAGGCCAAGGGGTCTTTGGGGAGGTTTAATATGTCTTTAGGGGAGTTATATTAAATAAAAATCCACAAGTCTCCATTATAATTTTTAATCTCACAAGGGACATTAGTGGATTTTTATTTATATATATACATTTATATTAATTATAATATTATATATAATATGATATAAATTTATGTGTAAATTTGTAAAAATCAAGTTTTTTTTTACTGAAAAAACTTGATTTTTACAAATTTAGAGGAGTGTTAGAGGAGAGCATTTAGAGGAGTGTTAGCAGCACTCTCTGCATGGATGCTTATACTGTGTATGGACTTTTCACAAAACAAAACTTAAATGAAAGAGAAAGTTGGTGTGTTTTTGGGACATTTGTAACCATTGGTCTATCTTGTTTATTCTTGCATTCTTAATACCCGGAATAGAATATTTATTAATTTTCAAAAAATTTTCCCACCCTCCCAAGTTTATAAAGACCACCATCCCACTCCGAACCCACCCCCTTTTTTCGTTTAATTATTTTTTACTTGTTGTTAACAGAAAAAAGGTAAATCTCAAAACTAAAAAAAAAATCATTGTAAACCGGCCTTAAAAATCTTATCTTTAATAATAAGTATCTCATCGTCAATAATAATAATAAGTATCTTATCGTCAATAATAAAAGTATCTTATCGTCAATAATAAGTATCTTATCGTCAATAATAAAAGTATCTTATCGTCAATAATAAAAGTATCTTATCGTCAATAATAAAAGTATCTTATCGTCAATAATAAGTATCTTATCGTCAATAATAAAAGTATCTTATCGTCAATAATAAAAGTATCTTATCGTCAATAATAAAAGTATCTTATCGTCAATAATAAAAGTATCTTATCGTCAATAATAAATTTTAAATCTTGATTTTCGAAATAAATCTCATTTTGTCGAGACAAATCTTTGACATAATTAGCTTTTAGTTTATTTCAGTTTTAACAAAGACTATTAGTTTGACCACCAGCCACACTAAGATAAAATTGTTTCCAATTGCTTTAGATTATTGAGACCCTCTTCTACCTCCTCTGCCCCTCAATTATTAAATTTAGACTAATTCTCACTCTCCTTTTTTATTCCTCCCCTCCCCCTTCATTCCTTGTATTTGGCACGTGAGAGTAATTGTAGTTTTTTGTAGGCCTGCGGTTTTATCATCAAGATTTTTCTAGATATCATCAAAAATACCTCGATTAAGAGCTATAAATCATTTAAATATGGATGACAGAGATGCTATTTGAGTTGTGTTTTAGATGCCATAATACAAAAGTTTCGTTAGTGTTAAAACTGCAAAGGGTTAAACTACTTTGCAAAGAATTGTTCACTTGCAAGAAACTTAGCACCGAAGATGATATTTCAGTGTTTTATGTGATGATGAATACATATCCTCAAAATCGAATAAGATGCAGGAAAACAAATGGAGCAAAGAAGTTGGGACTCTTAAGGTTGATGGTATCAGTATACGAAATGAAATTTTTTTCTTAAAATCAATTTGCTTAAATATTTTCCAATTAGTTGTTTTTTCGACCACTGAAAGATAAGCAATGTTTTAGGGACTAATTTTTTTAATGGTTTAATTAGAATAAAGGATATTTTGAGATAATAATGTTTTTTACTTCTTTTTTTTTTACTAATTTCATTATTTTCCAACAATTTAGGCATATGAGGATTATTTGGCTCATCGAGAAGATAAAGTCTTACCCAACTTACCTTTTAACAATAGGCAGCTATTTTTTATAGGCTACGCACAGGTAACTTTATTTTCAAGAATTTTTACGAAGCATTAAAGAGAAAAGCAAAACAATTTTATTTAATCACATGAAACATATGTTATAATTTTGGTAGGAGTATTGCTCAAATGTGAGGGAAAGAACTGAATATATTGCCACGCTTAGTGAGATTCATTCGCCTGCTAAATTTAGGTACCTAATTTTAAAACTTTTATATGTAATGAACTTAAAACAATTAATGAAGCCTTAAACCTATCAACATACAATGTAATCTTTTAGAGTAATTGGCTCACTATCTAATTCTAAAGAATTTGCTAGTGTTTTTCGATGCGAAAAGAATGCAGCAATGAATCCAGAAAATAAATGCGTCGTATGGTAAACAATATAACAAAAAAGAACCTCGATTGAAAAAAGGAGCCGATTTTATAATTGGAATTCAATTTAATTTTGTTTAGGAGTTGTCTTTATTTGTATGTGGGTGTGTGCAAATATTGTTAGTCGTTATATTGTAACATGCACTTTTTTTGATCAAAGTTTATAAACGAAAATTCAAGTGAAAGAGAAACTTAATATTCTGATATTGAAAATACTTTTTAGTATTTTCAACAGGTTAGGTTTTATTTATAGAAGTATTAAGAAAAAGGTACATAGACAAAATTAGCACGACAGTTGGAGGGCGACAGCGATGAGAGCAATAATTTCGTTAGCCTGACGCAATATTCACGATCCTTTGACAAAACATTTTTTTCTTTTTTTGTATCATATTTCAATATTTTGTATTCATTCCAATTTTTTTACATTTTGTAAATATCTATTTAAAAAATAAATATTTATAATTAAGTAACGTTTTATTTTCTAAATATTCATCAAAGTATTTTCTAGGTTTTGTGAAAATTCTTGAACAAAGAATAAAGTATAAAATATATTTTTCTTTAATTTACAATTTTTATCACTTAATAAAATATTTTTACTTACATAAATGCTAAATTTTGACTTTATATTAAATTTTCATGTACTAAATTATAAATATTATATAAAAATATACTAAGTTTTTATTGAAACGTTTTCTAAATTTTAAACATACTTGAATTGCTAAATATTTTTTGTATATTATAAAAAACCATTAAAATTATAATTTTTGTATATTGGAAATAAAAATGTTTAAATTGATTCGTGTTATGATCGTTAATGATTTTTTTTTTCACAAAGATTTTGCCCAATTTCGCTTGCGTTTTTTCTTGACAGTTAAACAACAAAAAATGGAGCATTAAGCTTTATAAACACTCACACACCTGAAAAAAAAACACACTCACACACCTGAAAAAAAAAGCTTGAGTATGTTTAATTTGTGTGTTCGACTAATTGCGTTTTGCAAGCAGCCAAGCGTGAACTAACAAACAAATTAAGTTGGAAAACAACTATTAAGTTTAAATTGAAACTTATCTTTAATTATCATTAGAAGAAATTTGTATACTATACAAATTAATGAAATTGAAGATAAGTTTTAAATTTTCAAAAATAAATTACGATTTTTGATATAAAAAATAAATACATTAGGGTTTTGATGCCAGAGAAATGACAACTTACTCATGGGGCATGTACGTAGTAATTCATTTATTTACCTTGTGTTATATTAACAATATTTTCTGTAAAAGTATAAAAAACGCATTCGTTGACACTGAGAGTTCTACGACTGAGGTATGCGTCTCTCAAGAATGTAATGTGCTTGCTAATACTATTAAGGGGGCTTTAAATGAAACCGAAGAACCTTGTAACGATTTTTATAACTTTGCGTGCGGCGGTTGGAAAGAAGCGCATAAAATTCCATCAAGTGAAAATGAAATTACTTCATTTACTGTTCTCACTAAAGAAATAGAAGATCAACTCCATAGGTTATTAGAGGAAGAACCTAAACCGAATGAAAACGAAGCATTAACAAAAGCTCGTTCGTTTTACAAATCCTGCATGGACAATGATACTTTGGAATCTTTAGGAGCCAAGCCCGCTTTAGATTTTATTTCTTATATTGGCGGTTGGTCGCTTTGTAACAATGATGAATGGAAAAAAAGTTCGAAAAAATGGAGTGTTTATGACGTTATGATAAAAACACAACGAAACTTTTATCCCGCACCAGCTTTTTTTACAGTTGAAGTAACTAACGACCACATGAATTCAACAAAGCATTTGATAAAGGTATTTATTAAATAAGTATATAAAAATAAAGGTAGTTAATAAAAAGTTAGGCTTTTAGAAAACTTAACATTTTGCCAAATCTATTTACATAAATTGTACCTTGCTGGTTTGATTAGGTAAAGTAGCCTATGATAAATAAGATTGCCTACGTCTTTTATTTATTATAAACCAATAAAAAATACTTTTTTATATATTTTATTTAACATTTGGCTTCATCACTAATCGAACAATATCGTTAGCGATAAAACATAATTAGACTTGCAAAAAATTGATATAATGGTAAATAACCCTCTAAAAAAAAAACTTAAGGTATTTACATAAATGTATTTACATAAACCATGTCGGTATTCAGTGAAATTTCGTAATTTCAAATTTTGCAATTTCAGTGAAATTGCAAAATTTCATTTAACTTTCAGTTAAATTGAAAAGTTATTATTTTTTACTTATTTTAATATATTACATGTATATCAAACTGTTTCTCCGGGCAGCGGCCATGTTTTTCAAGGTTCGTGTTTCGGAGTTTTACAAAAAAATGAGTAAACCTCATTGACTGAAGAAAATAGATTTCTCTAAGACAAAAATAGATTTGTCTTACAAAAATTATCTATTCATCACTTATTAAATCTTATTTATCGCTTTCAAAAAATCATGAAGGTAAAAAACAGGTGAATTTAATTTAATTAAAAACTTAACTTAACTTACTTATCTTATACTTATCTTAACTAACTTATCTTATAAAAACAATCTTTTTTCCTCATTAAAGGGACGAAATTTTTCAATGAACGTTGTTAATGTTCTTTTATTGATCTTCATATAAAATATAGGAGATGTAAACATTGCATAACTTAAATTCTCATTGTTACATTTTTAGATTTCAGGCTTTTTTTCGACTCAAACTGCAGGACCGACGACACAGGTTTTCGAAATGGGGTCGCAATCGCCAATTTCTAAAAAAGTCCTCTATATCAAGAAATTTTTAAAATAAAAAAAATTAACAAAACCCGTTGTCGTCGGGTTTTTTTTTTTTTTTTTGTCGATTGGTACTGTTTATTGTTAGTGAATATTTTTCGTTTTAATAAATAAAAAGTTACTTTGCTACATTTGTGTTTCGTCATGTTTTGAAATATGTTTAATTACGAGCTAAATAGTAATAATTTTGATTAATAAAATCCAAATTCGGCCCTCAGTTAAATTCGGTTCGCAAATTCGTCTTTTAGTAAAATTCGGAGTACACATATGGCCTAAATTCATCTTTCAGTTAAATTTGGTGTTTGCATATTGTCTTAATTCGTTTTCTATTTAAATTTGGGTCTTGAAAAATCGATTTGACCAGTCCTTAAAGCAGATTAGGACGCAAAAATCCACTCAGGCAAAAGTTAAATAATTTAGCACCCCAAGACATGCCAAAAAATTGAACCAAGGTTGCTAAAAGAAAGCATTATTCTTTTCTAGTCGAAAAGTTTTTAAGTTGTAAAGAAAGTGGCGCAGTAGAATCACCAAATAATTTTCTACAGTTGTATAGAAATTTCTGATATTTTCAACAAACTTATTCCTGTTTTCATTCCAGTTATTTTACAGGCTTTGAGCAAACTCTAAACGTTCATGTTTATACTTTTTTTATATTTATTTCACTTTCCTAAGACTCGAAAAGGGGCACTTGAGGAGACTACTCATTTTTTTGTTTTTATTATTATTTGCACCCATTTCTCAACCCAAAACTGCAAAACACGAATCTTATTAAATAAGAACGCAACTCGGAAAAACTTAATAAGCGCGATACTTTCAAAAGGGTAACGGGGATTTGAACTGAGAAGCTTTTAGCTGTACAAATAAGAACATTCGAGTTGCAATGGACCGTTCTCTCTATAAAAATTAACGCAACGCATTTTGGTCTTCGTATTACATGAAAATAAACAAACGTTATTATGTTAGGAATAAACACAGTTGTTAGCTATGAAACATTTTGAAATATGATTAAAATGTTATTGAAGTTGAACCAAGTTCTTTTAAAAATAATTTCAACAATTTCTCAACCAGCATTTCAAAAAAAAAACTATTTTAAATGAGATAGATGCTGAAGAAAATGTACAGCAGAAAACAAGTTTATGATCAAGATATCTTTCCTTGCTACCTAATTCAAATAAAATAAAAGTACACAATAACTTAGTCATAGACGATATTTCAAATCGAATCAAATGTATTCTGAAATACATATAGTACAAGTACTAATTTTAAATAAACACCTTAATGAAAAATTTTGGTGCTAGAGGTGCTTTATAGCATAAAATTCTGGGTATTAGTTATTTAAGAATAATTTTAAAATATATTTAATATATTTAATTTCCATACATAATTTTTACCATTAATTCCCGGTTTCGACTTACCGAGTATTAACGGTTTGAACAATTAAATTTAAACCCTGTTCCAGTTGAAAAACACACACAAAAGAATTTCATCAATAGCATGTTCCTGTTGAAAACAAAAATTTAGAAGCAAGCAATTATTCTATGTTGAAAAGAATTTTTTGAAAAAATATTCAAACAACTCACAAAAGCGTCTTTTTGTATCAAGTATTAAGACCTTAAACCAAGTATCCTTATTGAAAATAACATTTAGTTATAGCTGAATCTTGCTAAGATTTTTTACCCGATTTAACTAATTTTACTTTAAATTTATGCCTAAAGTAAAATTTAGTTAATTTAGTAAAAGATTTTATATTCAAATATTTCAAAATATATTCGTAGTTTATATTTATTTATCTGAAACAAGTTTTTCAAAATGTAATAGTGGTTTATTTACTGCGTCGTCCTCTTACATGAATACAAACGTTTGTATTCAAATAAAAGTGACGTTTGTAAGTCAAATAAAAGTACACAAAAATACTTTAACACAATTAAATAAAACTATTTAAATTAACACAATTAAATTAAATTAACATAATTTTACTTTTAACTACTAATGCCTAATGGAAAGGTTCAACTGAGCCTTCAAGATAAAAACTAAATTAGAAAAATTGCTGTTGTTTAAACAGCAGCAATTTTTCTAATTTAGTTTTTATCTTTAAGGTTCAGTTGAACTTTTCTACTAGGCAGTAGTAGTTTAATGAAATCTTTAACAAAACTTATAGTTCTATTTAGTGCTGTTCCAAATAACGTAATTCAATAATATGTCAAATGTAATGCCATTCTTTCTACTAAATGGTAAAGTTTAAATCTTGTAAATGCTAAAAATAATTCAAAGTCAGAACTGATTATACAACCTCTTCCTATTTTTATTGTAGTTAAATCTCTTGTTTTTTCAATTTAGTTCCTAATATTTAAGTTAGCTTGCAGCAGATTCTAAATATTTTAGTAGAACTTTAAAAGGTTGTATGGTTCAAAGCCAGTTTAAATTTTTCAACAACCATTCTTTGAACACATAAACAAAGTTTTTGGATTAGCATTAATCTTCCTTTGTGGAAAATCAATCTATCTTTTCTTTAATGCTTTCAATGAATTTGGCTAGCTTTTTTTAAAGTCGTTTCAAATTGGATTGAACTTTATTCAAACATAAAGCAAATACTTTAAGTTTAAATAAAGTTTTAAAATTTGTGAACTTAGTATGTTTAAAATTTTTATACGATCAAGATTCTTGTTGGTACTCTACTAAATAAATATTGATTTTTTGTGTTGTCCGAAGTTGTTTTTAAACTCGTTTTTTAAACTCATTTTATGCTCTTTCATTTAATATAAACTTTTTGTATTGTTTATTAACCTAAAACATTTTCAATTTGCATTTTTTAAGTGTTGCTAAAATTTGTTGACCTTTAAAACCTCTTAGCAATAATACTAAAACCATTACAACCTCTAAAATCAATGCCAAATTGACTTTTTTACAACCATAGCATTACATGATGTTTTTATCTTTGTTTTAAAAGCAGATTTGCTCTGTAATATTTTGAAAAGTAGTTACAATGAACTGCTGATATTGCATTAATTATTTACTGTTAGTACATTAAATTAATACAATATCAGCAACAACAACAACAACAACAAATATTTTAGAAAAATAGAATTGTGTTATATTTATAAGTTAGTATTTTATAAGACATTAAATACAAATCAACCCTTTTGCTCCAGATTAGAAAACGCCATCAAAAAAGTTTATAAAGTAAATGAAAAATTAAGGCCAATGTTTTCTATGATAAACAAGTGAAATAAAACTAATCATTCATATGTTTCTGGTGGATGTTGAACAAAGTTAAAAAAAAATAAAAAATTTATTTTGATAATACTAGACTAACTTTGAAAAGTAATATTCCATAGTTACAATAAATAATTCAGTGTATACTCAGTGATGAGATTTCAAATATTCATGTTCAATCTTTTTAAATAGAGTTTACATCTTCTCATCAGTTACTTAGTATTTCAAACAGTTTTACAACAACTTTTAATTAAATTTGAAATGAGTCCATTTATAAAAAAAATCTATTAGTTAATCGAATTATAACATAATGCATAAGTCTAACCAAGAGAAATTAATATAATAAAAGCTGTTACAAAGAAAATAATTTTGAGGCAATAATTAAAAAATTTTTTTGATTAAAAATTTTAAATAAATTATTTCTTTTTAAACATTTTTTATCAGAATAATATTTATTTTTAGTTTTATTCAGATGTTTTATTAATAAGTGTTTTTTAGTAATGTACTAGCTTAGAAGATTATTATAAAAATTTTGAAATCTATAAAGTATAAATTTAGATGAAACAGTAAAATACTTTTGTAAACTTGTTGCTTTTGCAATTTGCTTAGCCAATTTTTGGGGATTTTTTTATTCACCTACATTCTAAAATACAAAACTGAAAATTTATCAAAACTTTTCCAGAATTTATTAAATACTCAGCAATTTTTGAGGCAACTATTAAATACTCAGCAATTAAATATTTATAATTAATAGTTGCTAAACAGCTGTTTTTTAAGATAAAAAAAATCTACAACCACACAAAATAAAAAAAGGAAAAAAAAAGAAAGCAAATTCATGTGTTCATTTATATCACAATGGTACAAAATGTATCAAAATGTTGCTAATGGTAAATTATAATGGTATTTAATAAAGCTCAAGAAATGCAACATTTAGTATTATAAAAAGGTAAACTCATTTATAATAATAATATATATAAACTTTCGTAAAGTATATATAGTTTGGTTACTTTAATTTTTTTTTAAATCAAGCAAATTTTTAAATGCAGACATAACTGCATGTGAAATGAAAACATGTATATATATATATATATATATATATATATATATATATATATATATATATATATATATATATATATATATATATATATATATATATAATGGGTGGCCAGCTAACAAGAAATCAGGGAGAAGTTAGGGATTTTTTTTTTAGTCAGAGAAAAGTCAGGGATTTTTTTCCAAAAGTCAGGGAAAAAATCTATTTTTCAAAATTTTTTTAAAGGTTTTTTTTTACTAACTCCCAAACAACAAAACTTAAGAACTCACACTATATATATATATATATATATATATATATATATATATATATATATATATATATATATATATATATATATATATATATATATATATATATATATATATATATATATATAAGAAGTTAATCTAGCGTGCAGTGGTGGTGAACATTGTACTTTTTTAAATTTAAGTTGAACAAAAACAAGGTGGCTGAGTAAACTATATAATCAGAAGGAGAATTCTATACCTTAATAAGTCACAGAAAAGAAAAATCTCTCTATCTCTCTGTATTTATTATGTGGAATATGTTTTTGGGCATGAGATCTTATAAAGTAGTGAAAAAGTGCAAATAAAAAACTTAGAAAAAGTGTACAATTTTGTATGTCATTATAAGGTCAAAGTTTGTTCTATAGCATTTGAAATTTCAAGATTAAAAGTGTTGAGACTTGAGGAATATTCTTTATATAGAATATGACATCTTTTAAATAAAAGTATTTCTTTATGATATACAATGGAAAGCAGAAATATTTTTTAAAATATTTATTTCTGCACCTTTTCTATCTGTTGTATACGTTTTAAAAGATAGAGATTTCACACTGAGGTACAAGATTCTATTATAGGTAAAACATAAATTTTGTAGACTCAAAAGTTGGAAATTGATAAAAGATTTTTAAAGTAAGTAGGAGAATCTGTAATTATACCAATATATTGAATAGATTTAATAGATAAGATTTAATAATAGTACTTGAAAAATTAGTTTAAGTGTATTTTATTATAACAATTTTAAGAAGTTAATTATAAAAACTATTATATTATTATATATATTATTATATATATTATTATATATATTATTATATATTATAGTATTATAAAAAAAAAAAAAAGAAGTTCCTTAAGTTTTTAAAAAAAGACAATAATTCTTATTTCACACTTGAGCAGCATGGGAGGGTTCCTGTAACGCTATTCTCTTATTTAATTATAATAACGATGAGTTCAATTTTTTTCTATTAGACATCTTAACAGTTATTTTTCTTGGTATAAACCAGTTTTGTAAATGGGGACTAACTCCTCATTTATAAAGCTGGTTTACACCAAGAACTTGTGAATCTAAGTGTAAATTTAAGTGTTTTTTAATGTTACAATATGAAAATAATTTTTTAATGTGTAATAAGTTGTTTAGGTGTCATTTGTAATAAATTATTTTTATGTTCTTCTCTATAAACACATATAAGCATATGTATTTTTTTATGTTTAGATTGATCAATCTGGGTTGAGCCTTCAAAGAGAAATATATTTCAATCATAGTAATGTTAGTTTTATTTGTTAGTATATTTTTTTTATAAAAAAAAGAAGAGAAATAAAAATAAAGCCATTTAAGAAATTTAAATAAGTAACATCTTGTGTTATTTTTTAAACTGAGTGAAAGTTATTAGATTTTGATGTTAAATGTACATTTCTTAATAGTAAAGAATGTAAAAAAAAATTTTTTTTACATTCTTAAATGTTTTTGAAAATAGTTTTAAGAGAAAAAAGTTTTCTCTTAAAACTATTTTCTCTTTTTTGTATCAAGTTTTATTTTGTGTATCAGGTTTGACTTTTTTAAGGCAAGTATTATTTTTTTTTGCAAAAAAATGCCTGTATACAGCAATCTTTCCGCCAAATTTTTTTACAGCAGGTGCCAGGTGTATATATGTATTATTTCAATCAAAAAAGATCCCCATCTAAGATATTATATAAATATGCATTCATAGTTGATTTATATATTTTACCTTCAACAAATATTTAATAGCTTTTGATAATTGTTAAGACAGTTTTACATTAATAATGTAATAACCTAAGCACAGCATAATTAAGTATTACAATAATATAATTATAAAGTAATACATTAAATATAACATAATCTATTAAGTTCGTAATACATGAAACAAACTCTATGGTTTTCCAAAATATTATTGACGCTCATCATTTGCCAGCACAAATTCTTTATAAATAGTGTTTATGTCAACTTCTTCCAAAATATCTTTATGAATATGACTCAGAATGGTGCTGTTTAATCTTTTTTGATTCATAGTAGAACGGAGATATGTTTTTAGCCTCCTTACACTGGAAAATGATCTTTCTGCTGTTGCTGTACTGACCGGTATAGTAAGAAAGACTCTTAGAACTTTAGACACTTCATCAAACATTTTAGATGCATCGTTTTCGGCAAATATTTTGACTAATGTTGAGATGGTTGTTATCTTAGTAATTGGCTTTACTTTGTTGCTTTTGCTCTGTTTGATTAATTCAGGTAGCATGTGAAGTTGCCGTGTTAACCTTGTCCAGTCGATGTCAGGGTACATTTTTGACAGTGATGGATTTATCTCGATAGTTTCTGACGCTAAGTTTGCCGAGTTCAAAAAAAGCGTTTCCATGTTAATGGCGTTTTTTACAGATGGCTGCTGAAACCTCAAGTCAAGTTCACCAATCAAGAGGTCAACTTCATAAAACTTTTGTCTGAAAATAATCAGAAACATCTGTGAAAATATGAGGTCCTGAGCCAGAATCTAACCATTGTGGTTGTTTTCGAATCCGTGGAATTGATGGCTCACTTACTTCCAAATCATCAGCTTCAGATTTTACTTCCTTGTAGAACTGATTAAACGATGTATCTCTTAATCTTTTCAAATACTGTTTGGTGACTGTGACACACTTCATAGCTTCAGTTAAGGACAATGCTTTCGTTTGCAATGTACCTGAAGCCTGCTCTGTTTCAAATTTTTGAAGCTGTTGCGATATTCCCCTCGCTTTGGACCCAGACTCATCTGATACCAATTCTCCAGTTTCTGATTCTTTTTTTCTAACAATGCTTCAAAGGCACTAGAACGAACAGCCCAGCGAGTAAGACACAATGCCTTCAGGTTCTTAATGGGACCTCCGTCATTGTTATCAAATGACATCTCTGCCTGATTTTATCAAAGACAGTAAATTTCTTAGGTGAATTTTTTATCATGTGAGCAATTTCAGATACAAGTGAAAGACTGTCCTGGACCAAAGTGAATTGTCTAGTACAGTCTTTCAAACACAAGTTTAAACAATGTGCAAAGCAATGGACAGAAATTGCTGCATTGTTTGCTTCTTTAAATTGAGCCGCTAGGCCACGTAAATCTCCTGTCATATTTGCTGCACCATCATAAGCTTGGCTACGGCAGTTTTCTAGACTTAATGAAAATTGGAGTAAAACATCTTTAACAGTTTTTGTTAAAGAGTCGACATCTAATTGCTCTAGTTTATATAGACCAAGGAAGTCCTCGTGCACATCATAATTTTCATCAACCCAACGTATACAAATTGATAGCTGCTCTTTGTTAGAAATGTCCCTGGATTCATCCCCTATAATGGCAAAGTATTTCGATTTCTGGATATGTGATAACAACTTTAAAATCACTGCTTGGCCAAAAAGTTCTATACACTCGTTTACTATTATTGGGGACAAGTATTTTTTGCTCTGGAGCCAATTTTGTAGCCCTTTTACATCTTGAGATCTCAGTAACATCAGTTGTTTAAGGTTGCCCTCTGTTTCTGTATGACCGCGTATTGCAAGACCTTGACGCAGAAGAAACTTTAAGGGCGATAGTTCTACTAAAAACATTTGTTGTCTTTTACTCTGGCTTTGTCTAATCTGCTCTAAAAGTTGACTTGTTACAGATTTTGCCTTTTGATTTATAAGCTGGTACTTCTCTAAGGCTTCCCTATGGGAATCACTTGGTTCATGCTCATTAAATTTAGTAATGGCCTTCTTCCAATTGTCGAATCCTGTTGTCACAAAGGCAGGTTCCTTTCTTTTGCTTAAGTCAAGTTTGTTGATACTTTCAATAAATCTACAATAGAAGCAAAATACTTTAAACCTTGTTACGCAGAGTGTTAGCCACGACCATTTAGTGTACCATGACTTTTGAAACATTCTAAACTCTTTTTTGTTTCCAGTTTGTTTTTTTGTCATTTTGAGTATACATTCATCATCTGGTTGGTAGGCCTGGGTCATATTTGAATTGCAACATAGGGCATTACAGTATGATGTAGAGGTTACTGAATCTGACTGTGATTTTACTTCTGTTTTTGAATTTAGTCTAGTCTGTTTTTAAAATTTTAAAGGGTTATAAAAAGTAACATGTATGTTTTACTATAAGTACCATTTATACAACATGTTTTTCAGCGCAATGACTCCATGAAAAACTGTAGTCATCTTTTGCCAGCACACATTCATTTAGAAAACAGTTAGTATGTGATAGTATCTTGAACAGTTTTATGGATATACTTTTCCATGGTGATGTTTAATTGTGATAGAGTCATTGCAGACTGGAAAATGATAATTCTGCTGTTGATATCATAAAAAAATTTATAAAACTGTTTAGGAAATTGGGGGGGGGGGGCTAAATGAAGGTTCCACCCCAGAAGCTTTTTTTTTTTAATTAATTTCAATTTAAAAAAAAAAACTTTGACTTGAGTATAATTTTTGAAATCTAAATATCTTTTTGAAATCTAAGTTTTTAAAAAATAAAACATATAATAAAAAATACAATGAAGTTTTTATTTTTTTGATTGGATTTTTACCAACCATTTTATTTTTCTAAGATAAAACTTTTTATCTTTAAACTATATTGCATGTTAATGCATTTGGAATGATAATGTTTTATCTATTTTATTATGACATAATATTAGAAAATAGTAAATAATATTATTTATTAATATTAACATAATAAAGAAATCATGTTTATAGTTCTAGGAATCCCTCAAAATGCTTTTATGTCATATAAATTGAGTTGCATAAGCCTTAATCTTACACATTAGTTGAACCTGATAAAAGTTTTTTTTTGGCTAATAAATTTGAAACTTTTTATTTTATTAGATTTTAGTTGATTATGGTGACTATATGGTAAAAGTTGCAAAATTATTGGGATATACTTGCAATGAAAAAGATCCAGAAAATAATGTCACAGCTCAAATGCTCTCAATCTTGGAATTTGAAAAAAAAATGGCCAAGGTAATAATTTTTTTTTTTTATTGTTAAAGTAATTGAATTAAAAGTTTTTAAAATGTAAAGCTTAGTTTATGTTAATAGCAAAGTCTGAATTATAAATGATAATTATTTTTAAAATGAATGTAAAAGATATTCAAACTAGTCAAGTCATCTTATAATTTAATATCTGTGATCTAAATAGTAGGATGCCTTTGGTTTTATCCAAATCATTATAATCAGAGCTGATGACACAAGGTCGGCCAGGGGGTGGGCACCTCCCCGGTCTCCTTCCAAATTTCTTCAAAAACTATAGTCAGTAAGACTTAAAGGTCACTTTCAGAATCAGATTCAAAATCCCCAACTACTTGCAAGACAGGAGATAAAAGCAACTTCCTGATTTCATTGAAAATAGGTTGTGAATGGCTTTTTTTTTTAAACATCTTCGCTTCCAATAAGGCTGCAAGCAACCACTAATTAGTGTTGGAAGTTACTGGAAGAGCAAAGATAAAGATTGTAGAGCAAGATAACGATTGACAGATAACTTAAAAGATTGCAAATTATATGAATCAAGAAAGCAAGATGAAGGAAGCGAATTCCAAAGAACTAATGTTCAAGGAAAAAAACTAGACGAATAAGAGTTTTTGGAGCACTTAGGAACAGTAATAGAAAAAGGATGAGACTTAATTGAATGACGAGTAACACGAGAATGAATTTTAGTAGATGGCACAAGAAACACTAGCTTTTTAGAGCAGCGCCCATTATAGTATTTGTAGAAAAGAGAAAGAGAAGCAACATTATGACGATGTGACAGAGGTTGAAGGTTGGCTGCAAATGCATGGCCAACTATGTTTACAATGCGTTTTTGCACCTTGTCTAAAAGAGAAAGGGCATCATTAGAAGATCCGCCCCAGATATGGCAACAGTATTCCATACAAGGCCGGATTTGAGATTTATACAGATAGAGAATAGAATCCAGAGTAAGAAAGTGACGAACTCGATAAAGAGAAGCAACTTTAGCAGATGCTAATTTTGCAACAGATTTAATATAAGGTTTCCAAGAAAGATCAGAAGTAAGAGTTAATCATAGAAGATCAAGGGTAGGAGACTCATCGAGTACATTACCTTTCATAAATATAGGAATGTCTAAATTATTGCAAAAATGATTGGCTGAAAAAAATTAAGTTTTATCTGAATTAAAGTTCACCAGCCACTGTGAGCCCCATGATGTAGCAAAAGTAAGATCCTTTTCAAGTTCAGATGCCCCCTGCAAGCGATCAGAGGGAGTTGGCTTTTTATCGTGACAAGAATAAATGGTATCATCAGCGAACAATGCCACCTTAGATGTGAGAATATCTGGAAGATCGTTAATGTAAATTAAAAAGAGTAAAGGGCCAAGGATTGAACCTTGGGCAGCCCCTGAGGTTAAGAAGAGTGTTGTCCATCAAGGACAACTTTTATACTACGATTGGAAAGGAAGGATTCAATAATCTTAAAGATGTTTCCAGATATATCGTAAGAAGAAAGCTTATGGAGGAGACCAGCATGCCAAACTTTATTAAACGCTTTAGAAATGTCAAGAGCGATGGCCTCAACCTTTCCACCTTTATCTAATGCGCAATAAAACCTATCGGTTATTACTGATAGCAAATCAGCCATAGAACGAGAAGATCGAATTCCATATTGATGATGAGAAAGTAGGTTATGAGATTCGAGATTCGAGATTAAGTGTTTGTTAATTAAAGATTCAAAAACCTAGCCTATGATAGGAAGAAGGCTAATGGGACGATAGTTAGACGAATTGGATCGCTCTCCAGAATTTTCAAAATAGGGATAACAGATGCTGCTTTCCAGCAGGCTGGAAAACAAGACTCTGTTAAGCACTTGTTAAATAGTTTTGAAAAGATAGACGACAGCTGCGGAGAACACTTCTGCAAGACTATAACAGGTATGTTGTCCAGGCTGCAAGCTGTAGAAGAGTCTAAGCAGGAAATCACTTTAGATACAGAAGCTGGAGTGATACAGATGTCAGTCAATGGATCAACTTGTTTGACGGCTATATCAGGTAGAACGCAACTAGTGGAATCAAGAGATGATATTGATGAAAAGTTCTTGGCAAACAATTTAGCTTTGTCTTTAGGTGAGGTAACAAAGCCTGAACCATACAAAAGAGGTGGAATTACAGACTTGCCCTTATTATTGATGCTATTAAAGATTCTTCAGAAGTCACGAGAGCCTAATTTTTGTGATGAAATACGAGATTTCATGATCTGAGAATAGCGGGCTTTGGCGTTAGACAAAACCTTTTTACAATGGTTCCTAGCAGTAATAAACAGACGCCTGTTTTCTGGAGAATTGTTTTGCTGATAGATATGGAAGTAATGGTTTCGGTTGGCAATTGCAGCAGCACAATGTGAGGAAAACTATAGAGAAGAGTGAGGCTTGACCTGGAATTGTTGAGAGGGAATAAAGGATTCCATGCTAGCTTGAATCCACAAAGTTATGTAAGAAGCGCATTTGTCAACAGGAAGACAAAAGATTTCTACCCAGGGGCCATCACGAAGAAAATCAGGGAAAGAGTCCCAGTCAGCTTTAAGGTAGTTGTAAGATGTATGATGATAGGGGGATTCTGATGGTAAAGAAGAATGAGATAATAGTTTTAGACAGACCAAACCATGATCAGAAGCACCTAAGGGTGAGTGTGGAGAAACTGAGCACTGACTAGGATCAGAAACAAGACACAAGTCGAGTAGAGAAGGTAAATGATTCAGGTTGTCTGGAAAGCAAGTTGGAAAGTTGACTATTTGAGTTAGGGATTGAGAAAGGCAAAAGTTGTGGGCCTTAAAGCCTGCAGAATCACTGACACTAGAACCAAGCCATGCAGTGTGATGAACATTAAAGTCACCGACAACAACAATATTGGCTGATGGATAAAGAATGAGGGCTTGGTCAATATAATCAGAAATAACATCAAGAAGAGTGCAGTCTTGAGATGAAGGGGAGCGATATAGAACAAAGAGAAAGGTGATAGAGTGAAGTGGTGCTAAACGAAAGCTCATAAAAGAGTAGTATGTGGATTCAAACCTAGTTTCCCGACAAATAGGTGAATTCTCAGGAATTCACCTATTTGTCTGGAAACCAGGTTTTTTGTGTTTTATAGTTTTTGTTACTTTATTCATTTTTAAATTTGTTAAAAAACTTGACTCGAAACATAGATAGTACTCAGTACACTGTTTTATAGCCCAAGCAATTGCCTCGTTTCCACTAATAAACCCTAAACCGTAACAAAGGCAAATACCACAAATTTGAACTGTGACCTCTGAAATCAAGTAATTTTGAAAAATCATGGCTAAAATCATGCATCAGTTTTTTTGGATTGCATGATTGTACAGGAATATAATAGAAAAAAGTTGCCTCAAATATTTGGCATGCAAGAAAAAAGTTATAGAAATATCACAGTACATTTTTCTTATTCTCATGATCTTAAGATACCTGGGTTTTGAAACTTTTGCAACATTTCTTGTTGTTGTTGTGCCAGCTCCGCTATCTCTGAATTGGTCCACATTCAAACCAAGATAGTCCTTGAAATCTTTCTTGACTTTTTCTTCTCTTACTTTTATTTGAGCTTTTTCTTCCTCTGAATACCTACAGTCAGATTTCTTTAAATGTTGTTTATAACCAAGATGCAGAATGGCCTCTAACGAGCGAATTCCAAAATGCAAAATACTTGCTCCATTTTCTAATGCTCCATCTTTGACATAAAAATCTCCAGATGGATTTGACATTTGTCTTGATGATTGATGGCATAAAGGGCAATGATTAGTTGATGGGCAGGAAGTCAGTTGGTTTAGGACCTTCCCATCAATCATGTAAAAGATACTATTGTATTTCACAATCACCTGTAAAATAAATAGCTACAATAATTAATCCTGAAGTTCCTTGTAATACTATTTTTTTACAGGTTTTATAATGGTGAGAAAAATATTGGAGTGGTTTACCTTTGGAGAATCCACCAGAATAAGATTTTGAAGGTTGAGAATCTCTTCTTGGAGTCTAGCTATTTCTAAGGATCAATTGCTATTCTGATAGGACGACAAGAACTACCACTGTTAGCATCCTTGTTGTTGTAAAAAATCATATCTTTATTGCTTTTATCTCTTGCTTGAAGTGGAACCATTTGTGAGACAAGGTATGTTTTGCCATAAGGAACTTTCCCACTTTCATCTTTTTGATGGATGGTAGCAAATGAACCAACTCCATCTAGGCCAAATTTGAAGTGAAAGCAAAGATTCAGAGATTCTTGACAGAGGCACTGTCCTTCAGGCAATCAAGTAAGTGGGCATCTTCCAGGAATATCCTAAATTAAAAGAACAAATGGTTCATTTGGAAAGTTGGTTTTTAGGACCTATAAATTTATAAAGTTTTTAAAACCTGCATGCTAGTGTAATTTATGTTGTTGAACTTAAATGTTGATAATTTAGTTCGATTAAATAAGGAATTATAGAAAGATCTACAAAGTATAAAAGGTAAAGGTTAGTGAAAATATAGATTCCTTTTTTTACCTTTTTACTGTATGGTTCAAAAGGTTTTGAAGTAGAACTTTTGCTGTAAGTGGATCTACTTTAATTCCATTAGATCTGCAGTCTTTTTTTGTTTCAAGAACCTGAAATTAAATATACAGTTCTCAGTTGAAATTACATCATCAAAAAATTATCAACTATTCTTGTTATAATTATTAACTAAAGAGTCAATATGTTTCACTTACAGCATTATAACTTGGCCAGATAATAGAAAAGTTTTCAGCACATTCCTATTTTAGTTGACAATATGTTCTCTTGGAAATATTATTATTGAGGAAGGCAGCAGTTGGTGTTTTTAGGACAGGCATATGTAGAGGTTCCAGAGCTTTGTTGACAACCTCTTCAGGCTGATTTAGTAGTTTGCGGACCATAAACCCCAGTTTTCTTGGAGATTGAGCTGCAGTTAACAAGGTAGTACCGTTTTCATGATTAGCACGAACTTCTGCACTTGAAAGTTGCTTGCCACGGAGAGATTTCTGTTCAAAGTCTTTTGAAGGTTGTCCTACCTATGATTTCTTTAGGTAAAGATCGGTCCCTAAAAAAGGTAGTTAGTTTTCAAAACAATCCTTTCATGGATAGCACTATAAATCACATCACATAAGAGAAGAAAAAAAGTAAATTTAAGAGTATAATCATTGCAGAATTCTTACAAATTAAGTTAATCTTGATCAAATAGATTTTTTTCACTTACAAATTCTTCTTGGCCTCAACTTTTTTAAGAAGTTTATCAGGAAGAGTAAAAGCCTTGGAGAGAAAGCTTCCTTTTCTTGCACTTTTAAAGAGCCTGTCAATGTGGTAGAAATTTTTCTTGTATACTTTTTCTACATTGACCAAAAAACTTCTGATTTTGTGCCTGAGTTTTCCCAATGTGTCTCCAACCTCAAGTGACTGACAGACAGGAAAGAATGTAGGTTTCTATGAAGTTCAGATGACCAGGAATGTCAGTAGACTTCAGCCCACTAGTTTGCATAGCTTTCAGGAGATCTATTCTTGAAATGGGGTATGTCTAAAACAGAACAAATATATCATTTTATTTTATTTTTACAATAGTAATACAAAATCCTGCTGAGTCAAAAAATTTTAGGGCAAAAAACTTTTACAAAAAACTTTTACAAAACAAAAAAATTGTTTTGTAAAAGATTTATGGTAGTTTTTTGTAAAAATGCTAATAATTCTTACCATTTTATAAACAATGACTGACCATGCAGTTTGATGTAGAGAATAAAAACAATGACTGACCATGCAGTTTGATGTAGAGAATAAAAACAATGACTGACCATGCAGTTTGATGTAGAGAATAAAAACAATGACTGACCATGCAGTTTGATGTAGAGAATAAAAACAATGACTGACCATGCAGTTTGATGTAGAGAATAAAAACAATGACTGACCATGCAGTTTGATGTAGAGAATAAAAACAATGACTGACCATGCAGTTTGATGTAGAGAATAAAAACAATGACTGACCATGCAGTTTGATGTAGAGAATAAAAACAATGACTGACCATGCAGTTTGATGTAGAGAATAAAATCAATGACTGACCATGCAGTTTGATGTAGAGAATAAAAACAATGACTGACCATGCAGTTTGATGTAGAGAATAAAAACAATGACTGACCATGCAGTTTGATGTAGAGAATAAAAACAATGACTGACCATGCAGTTTGATGTAGAGAATAAAAACAATGACTGACCATGCAGTTTGATGTAGAGAATAAAAACAATGACTGACCATGCAGTTTGATGTAGAGAATAAAAACAATGACTGACCATGCAGTTTGATGTAGAGAATAAAAACAATGACTGACCATGCAGTTTGATGTAGAGAATAAAAACAATGACTGACCATGCAGTTTGATGTAGAGAATAAAAACAATGACTGACCATGCAGTTTGATGTAGAGAATAAAAACAATGACTGACCATGCAGTTTGATGTAGAGAATAAAAACAATGACTGACCATGCAGTTTGATGTAGAGAATAAAAACAATGACTGACCATGCAGTTTGATGTAGAGAATAAAAAGAGCTAAGTACAAACGCTTTAAAATTGGACAAAAAATAAAAAAGTTATGCACTTTAAAAGATTCAGATAAAAATCAAGTTTTGTTTCGATTTATGGCTGACAATAAAATTTTGGCGCTATCTGAATTTTTGTGCGTGTATTAACCAGATTTTGTCATACACATACAAAAGTGTCAGGTTTCAAAGTTAAGAATATCTATTTTGCAGAAATATGCAGACTCAAGTTTTTCATTGTCTGAAAGAGGAAAGATTAAATTTTTTAAAGAATATTTTTTAATTTTTAACACTTTTCAACAACTTTTTAAAAATGCAGATAATTACTGAAATTATGATGAAATTATTGTACTTTTCAAATTTCTATTTTAAGCTTGTTCAAAACCAAAATATTATAATTGAAATAATTTAAAGTTAAGGGATTACATGTAATCATGAATGTATTTCATGAAAAAAAAACAAAAATTGGTTTTTTTGATGCTTTTTAATTTTTGAATATTTTTGCCATATCATTTGCCTCCCCCAAACACACACTTTTTTTCTTAAGCCTCTGTTTTTTATTATATTTAGAAAATTGTAGACATAAAAAACTTTTTTTGAAAATTGATGAATTTTATTTGTTCATATTAAGATTTTTATTTTTGAATATATTTAGTTTAAATTTTTATTTAGAGAAATACTTGATGAACACAAAACTTTTCATAAGATTTTCTAATGTTCTGTAAAATTATTTAAACCTAATTGCACAGTAACTATGGCTTCATGATAATGCTTGTATTGCATACTTCAGAATTAGAATTTCTCAAATTACAAAAATTAGCTAGAAAAAAATTTAGCTAGTTTGCAAGAAAACCAAAAAAGAAAACTCAAATAAAAAATGAAGTATGCCTTGTTTTAACCACAAATATTAGCTTTTTACAAATTATTAAAATTAGTTTTTAATTATTGTGACTGGCCTAGAAGTATCAAAAGTTTTTTATCATCGAGCTGTTTATAAATATTGCAGCCTTATTAGATACTATTTGTAGTTACAAACAAGTAAAATAATACCGTATCATAGTTTACAAATTGAAAACTAAGCTCCACTCTATTGCATTCCTGAGGAAGTTTTCATGATATCCAAAAAGTAGAAAGTTTTACTTGTACTAAATTCAAGTTCGGTTATTGAAATCATTTGATTTTGGAGCTTTTAAAATATGGTGCATAGTGCTTGACATTAATTGTTAACATAATTCTTGAGTGAGATAAGTGATGTCTTTGTTAAGATTAACCTATTTATATAAAAAAAACTAATAAAAGTTAAAACTATAATTTATGGATTTCTCTTTTAAATATAATATAAATATTTAAATCATCGCAGTAGTTTGTGAAATTATGTAAACATTTCAATATTTTGTTTATCTTATAGTTATTTACTGCTGCTGAAGCAAAACAAGCTGGAACATTCAGAAGGATTAATTTGAAAATTCTTGAGCAAGTTGTGCAACATGTAAATTATATTTATGGTATTAACTTTACCTCCTCCGCAGTGATTGTGGCATAACTACGCTGGAGGAGGTTATATTTTGAATAAAAGCTGCAACCATTTTTCCTTTTTATTTTTTACTTCTCTAAAAAGATATTCTTAAAGTTTATATTGTCGAAGATTGCTGCTGGACACTCTTTAATTACTTATTGTTTTTTTTTATTAACATGTTTTAAGTTTACTCAAATGTTTTTATTTTCAAATTTTTGTTGTTTTTTTTAGGAAAGTAGGGGGGGGGGGCAGGATTTTTTGAACTTGTTTAGAAGGCAAAAATGGTTGCAAACCAATCTTAAGCCTGTTATTCCAATTTGTGTCAATAAACTGCTTAATAAAACTTTTATGTAAAAACGGTGCTCTTATGATTAGTTTGAGTTCTGACATTAGCCTTTTTTTATTTTAAAGAAAAAATGTCTAAGAACAATACATGTTTTTTTTTAGTAGAAAAATAATTTATATAGAGTTTATATTACTTTTTTAAGTTTCCATGGAAGAAGCACTTAAGAAAGATTTTTCCAGATAGTTACAAGATTAACGAAAAAGAAGTTATTTTGGCAACTTCACCAGTATATCTTCATAATATGGCAGATTTAATTAAAAAAACAGACAAAAGGTATGATAATTCTTAAGAAAATTGTTTTATTAAATATTTCTATTATTTTTTTAGTTATATTTCTTAAAAATCTTTTTAAAATTTTCTTGTGTAAGACTTATATGAATCTAATGTGATTAATCAAGTGATTATGAATAAAAATGTGAATTATTTATTAATACTTCTACAAATATAATGTGATTAATTATGACCATATTAGAATTGTTTAATAATATTTATACAAATATATGTGATTAATCATAACCATATTAGAATTATTTATATATTTCTTTAAGAATTATTCAAACTTTCAAATAATATTTTTAAAAAAAAGACCACTTATTCTAGTTTTAAATTAAAAAAATTCAACAATGATATATTAAAAATAAAATAATTGATTTTTTAAATTATCAATTTCAAAATTTTTTCACTGTATTAAGTCATTTTGGTCTAAAATGTTGTTGTTAAAAAATATAAAAAATACTATTAAAAGTTAAATTAAGTAAAGAAAAATAGCCTTCATGTGAAATAGGACATTCAATTTTATAATCCTTATATTGTACCTTATTTTATAAACCTAATATTGATGGGTTAATTCTAAAACATTGTTAGACAGTTGTGAAAAAATTATTTTAAAAGTTTGAGTTTATACAAATTCAAATATTTAAAAACATATTATAATTGTTCTTTTATTGCTTATTTCTCTGTATAATATTTTTAAGTATTTAAAATCATATTATGTTTTTAAATATTTTAATTTGTATACAAGTTTAAACTATTAAAATCGTGTTTTTTTTCACAACTGTCAAAAATGGACATACATTGTTTTAAAATTAACCCATTGATATTGTATTTAATTTTATAATCCTAATATTGTATTTTATTTTACAAACCTTATATTGTATTTTATTTTGCATCATGCATATATTCAATGTTTTTCAAACTTGTTTTCTATTCAATTTTCTATGATAGATTATTGTCAAGATATGTTGTATGTTTTCAGATTATTGTCAAGATATGTTGTATGGCAAATGCTGCGAGACAAAATAAGTTTTTTATCAAAAGATTTCCGTAACGCGCGTGCTGAATTTAATCATAAAATGACTGGAATTCAAGATAACGAACCACGTTGGAGAATTTGTACAACTGTTACAAATGATAATATGGGAGTTCCAATTGGTACTTTATATGTTGATAAATATTTTAAAGAAAGCACAAAAGCAAAGGTAACTCATAATAACACCAATTATTGTATAATACAATAATTCGCATTATTATTAATTTATTATTATTAGTTGTTTGTTTTTTTTTTTATGTTTTTTTAATTATTTTATGTTTTATGTTGATAACTTATTTTATGTTTTATGTTGATGACTTTTTTTATTATCATCACTTTGATGGTGACATCATTTTTTACTGTATATGATTTGTACAATGGTTAATAATTTCTTTAGACTAAAGCTATTATTGAAGAAATAAAAAAATCCTTTAAAATAAGGATTAAAGACCACGATTGGATTGATAACAATACAAGAAAATATGCTTATGAGAAGGTAATATTTTAAATTAGAAGTTTTGGTAATGAATAAAGAGATTTAATTGATTTAAATTTTGCTAGAAAATAAATGACAGAGATGCTTATTACAAGATTTGAAACAGGAAGTTGAATAATAAATTAGAATTATCCTCATATGACTTATATATATATATATATATATATATATATATATATATATATATATATATATATATATATATATATATATATATATATATATATATATATATATATATATATATATATATATATATATATATATGACATATCCTCTTAAGATATCATAAGAGAAAAAAATTTAAACCGAATAATGTAAAATTAACTTTCATAAAAAATAACATTTATTAAAACTTAAAAGAGTATTTTTTTAGTGCAAAATATATTTTAAAACCATTCAATATTGATTTAACTTTGACAAACAATAAACAGTTGCACATCATTTTCTATAATATTTCATGTTAACTAATAATTAGTTTTTTAATGTTACTAAAGTTCTTTGATATTCAAGTAAAAGAATCATAGAAATTCTAAAGACAAAAAAGTTTATTGATTCCTTTAAAATTATTGCAGCAGAAAATCTTATTCCATTTGAACAAGCAAGTATTAATTAGTTTGTCAACTTAAATAGTTGCTTGTTTAAAGTGAATTAAAAAAAAAATTGACTTTAAACAAGCAAGTACTATTTAAGTTGAGAACTAGCACAAAGCAAAAAGAGAGTTCAAGAATAAGAAAATGGTTGACAGAAGGGTTTAAAAACCATAAATTGGAAGACTCAAAAAAGCATGAAGACAAGAGGTAATTCCAACACATTGATGTTCTAAAAAAAAGTTTGGATAAAAAGTTTTTGATTATGAAGGAATAGTTCCAGCAAGATGATGTGATATGTACGTATATCATATACACATACATATTATTCTATTAACATTAATCAATAATAATACAAGACAACTATGCACAGTTTGAAAAAAATACCAAATTATAAATTTTAAAATTAGTTGTTGAGCCGATATCTTGTTGTGTTTTTAAATTAACTGCATTTGCACTTTAGTTTATATAATATTTTAGAACTATTCTTTTACTTTCAAACTATAACAACACTATATTGCAGGTAATTATAATGTTAAAAAAGTATAACAAAGATGTGATAAATTGTAACCATTTATATTCATTTTTACTAAGTAAATTGGAATATATATTTTGCTCTAATATCCTAGTGTTTTGACACATGCAATACATTTTTTAATATGTTTATAATGACATAGAACTTGATTCAGCTTCAGCACATGTCAGCTGTGTCTCTATTAATAGATTGTGTATGGCCTGTTAAAGCCTGTAATTTGTATAGCGGCAAAAATATATTTGCATATATAATTATTTTTGTCTGATAATAAAGCCAATAATCAAACATGACAAATACACACTACTATATGAATGAATGGCTTCCTGAACCTTATTAATACAACATCTTTCTTATGTGATTATATTGTTGTTATTATTTTTAATTAAATTAAATGTATTTTTTATATTTGTAGGCTGAAAATGAAATATTTTGATATCTTTGCATTCATTATGCATAAGCCTATTAATCTACAAGTATCTGACTCTGGTATTGTGGAAAAACTTATTGATGCTATGAATTTGCAATTATGAACTATAATAACGCATCTACGAGATAGGTGGCGCAAATCATATAGTAGCATGGCTCAATTTGATGAATAGAATAAAAAATGGCTGGAAAGTCATGCTCCTGAAGATTTAAATGTAACACCAATACTTACTGGAAGACCAATTAAGGCAAACTTTGATGACTACTCTACTAAATCCAAAAACATAAAGTTAGTCACTTAACTGAAATGTATTCTGCTTCTGCATTACAATTTACTTCAGAAATTAAATGGTGAAAAGAAAATCCAATTGAAAAAATCTCAAAAAAAGATAGCAGAATGTCTAAAGATGAAGCTCTCTGTCTTCTTTTAGTTGCTAAATTGACAAAAGTTTCCTACTAAAATATTCAAAATCAAGCAGTTAAAAAGGGAGTCGATATATATCCTCCATATAATGTTCGGGATGCAAAGCTGTTATGCTATCCTGCGGATATATGTCTCAGACTTTTCAGCTGAAGTTAAACTGCAAGCTTTGGTGGATCATACAGCAAACAGAATGTGCAAGGCACAGTATGATGTCCTCAGCAACTGAAGGCACTCCAGATAGCGCTTTCAGTTGCTAAGGACATCATACAAAATAGGCTTTGATGGTGCCACCGAACAGTCCATATATAAAAAAATATTGCAAGGAACAGTAACAAAAAATTTAAACAATGAGCAGGCACTTTTATTACTTGTCTGTCATTGGACTTGTGTGGCTTTTCCAATGGAAAACTGATATTGACAAAATGGTTTTAAAAAGGGTATGACAGGCTGTTGTTCATTTATTTATCATCATTACATGTATGGATACGTTTTTTTGAATGTTTATTACATATTAGATATAAAACGATTTTGAAAAAGTGGCAGGCAAGAACAGTAGAAGATAAATTTAAAATAAAGGATCTGAAGCAACAAATTCACAATAGATTTAAATATGATAATGCGATAATGAAACGATAGTTGATGTTCCGAAATTTGGTAAAATGGAATATCGAATGATGAAAATACAGCTTGAAGAGCATTTCAAAGTGCAGAAAAGTTTGCAGAAATTTTAAATATTGATGTTGAACTGATTCTAAATTTGCATGTTATATTGGCAACAATTTAATGTGGTTTAGACATTGACACAGGCTTTCTGTTTAAAACAGCTCGACTCTATGTTCATCATTATCCTTGGTACTATATGCCATAATCTCTGCACAAAATTTTAATCCCTGGTTCTGAAATTATCAAAACTTTATCATTATCAATCAGTATGTATTCTGAAGAAGCTTAAGAAGCACGCAATAAAGACTTTCAAAGCTATCGTGAACATTTTGCAAGAAAATTATCTCATGTGAAAACTAACCAAGATTTATTAAATTGACTACTGTGTACATATGATCCATTTATTGCATCTCTGAGAAAGACAGCAGGAAGTCACATCATAACAAAAAATTTACCTGCATTCACTTATTGAGGTTATCCACAGATGATCTTATTTCATAAATGTTTCTTTTGTATCTTTATAACTTTGGAAATGTGTGTACCTATATGACTGTAAATTAAAACAAATAGTAATGCTCAATCATATTAGATTCATCAAAGTAGTTTGTATACCAAGTTTAGAAACATTTGACTAAAAATAACTCTTTGGAACTAATTATAAATACTTGTTGCTATGCAACTGGAGTTGCCATGGCAACCACACACAAAAATAACCATGGTCATTCAAGTTATATTCATCCAATTATTTTATATACCGAATTTTGAGGCTTACGGATGAAAGGGAAAAAAGTTGACTTTTTTTCAAAATCATAGGATTTTGGCCCACTGTGCTTCCAAAACCAGCTGTTACTGAAGAGAGATCAGGTTTAAGATTGGCTTCCTTTTCTAAGTGATCAAAAAAATGATTTTTTTAAAAATTGAAATTTTTTTTTAATAGTAATAAGCCATGCCTCACTGCTTCTGTCTAATGCGTGATAGAACCCTTTAGCTATAATGAGAGTTGTTAAACTCAAGATGGGATATTAAAAGTTTGTTAAATAAAGATTTTTTATCAATATTTATATTTCATAATTGCTAGTAATGGAAGACTGATTGGGCAATAGTTACCAGGATCAGAGTTTTTAAAGATTGAAACCACAGGTACCATTTTGCTCCATACAGGAAAACAAAATTTAGTTAAGCATTTTTTAAAGAGATCTGGAAATTTTAATTCATTGAACAAACATCTGTCTACTACAGGAGTAAATTGTTTCTCTGGGATGGCAGGATGGTGCAGTCATTGCATTCAAGAGGTGAATTAGAGAAAACATTCTTTGAAAATAGTTCTGCTTTACCTTTTGAAAAGTTAATAAGATCGGACCTATGTATGAGAGATTGAATGTTAGACTTTAATTGATGACTGTTGAAGATTTTTAAGATGTGTTATCTTTAAAATAACAATGTAAATTGAAAAAAATCTTTTTTCACATTTGTTCTTTGAAAATTAATTTTATAGTATTAGAATATGTTAAAATATAAAGAATATAAGAAGATACTTAGTAGAAAATATAAAGAATATAAGAAGATACTTAGTAGAAAATATAAAGAATATAAGAAGATACTTAGTAGAAAATATAAAGAAAATATAAGAAGATACTTAGTAGAAAATACTTGGTTTATTTTAATATTTTTAAATAGAATTTGTTTGTATAGGTTGATGCACTTGTTGCAAAAGTAGGTTATGCTTCTTACATAAAAGAACCTAAAGAATTAAAGAAAAGATTTCACAGAGTAAGTTACTATTAAAGTTCTTTATTTATAACTTCTGTTACAGTCCAACTATTGTTGTTTGGATAATATCCTTGTGGTGTGATTTTTGATTACTTGAGAGTGCAAGTGTTCAAGACTTGCACTTTACGGTTATCATCGTTGTGGCGTTAGTCCTAATTACTAGAGAGTGCGAATTACTTGTGATATTAGTGAAAATCATTTACAATTATAAATGATTTTCACTAGTAATATAAAAACATGTACAATTTATTATGGCTTCACTAATGCAAAAATATAAGTATAAAATAAATTGTAAATTGATTTCAGTTAAATTTATCAAAAACCGAATATTTAGTATAATTTATTATATAATAAATTATATATATTTAACAAAAAATAGATCATGTATTTAAATTTTACATATTTTTAAATTTTACATATTATTTTTATTACCGAAATTTCTAGTTAAGTGTTGATGACGATCAATTTTTTGCTAACAATTTGAATGTTGACAAGTGGATTCGCTACAGGTTGTTTAATAAACTAAGAAAGCCTGTTGATAAAACAAAATGGCCCATGTTTCCTCAAACAATCAATGCAATGTACCAGTTTTATGAAAATGAAATAGGTATCAGTTGTTAAAATAGTTTTAAATGTTTTTTGCTTAACATTTGGTTTTGAATACCGAAAAGAATATTACTTTTTTGGTTACATAAATGACTGCAATTTTATTATAATTTATTCCTAATATTCAATTTAGTCATTCCTGCTGGTATTTTACAGCCTCCATTTTTTTACACAGGAGATGTGCCGAGGTGCGTTCTCTATTACTTAGTTTTTGTTTTATCTTGTTTTCATGAGACTAGGTTTATAAGTTTGAAGTTTTGTTTATTATTTGTAGATCCCTAAGTTATGGTGCCATTGGTTCAATTATTGGTCATGAACTCACACATGGATTTGACAATACTGGTATACTTATTATGTTTTAGTATATATTTTTTATAATATTTTATTTGAATTTAAAGTTCATATTCTCAAAGCCAGAGGCCCACTACTGTAGAGAAAGTTACTCCCCTTTTTAATTGAAAGTTTTATATTGCTAGGCCACCAAAGAAAAACAAGTTTAGCGTTTAACTACTATGTAGATGTGGGTAACCCTACCATTTTCCATATGGAATATAATTTGACAAAAAAGTATACGCTATATAAAATGCTAAATGCTTTACATTTAGGTAGAAAATTTGATAAAAATGGTGATATAGTAAAAGACTGGTGGTCTAAAACCAGCTTAGAAGAGTTTATGAAGCGATCTAAATGTTTTGAGGATCAATACAGTAAATATAAAATACAAGATAAACATCCGGTACGATTTATTTTGTAATTTTGTTCTAGAAATAAAGTTTTTAAATAAAAAAACAACATGGTAATTTTGCTTAAATATTTAGGTTAGTGGCAAATTAACACTTGGTGAAAACATAGCAGACAATGGTGGAACGCAAATATCGTTTGTGGTATGAAAGTTTGTTTTTGATTGAGTGTGCCTTTGTATAATTTAAATGTAAAATTGCTTTTTTATGTATGTATTGTTGATTATTTCAGGCATACAAACAATTTTTAATGAATAATAATGACACTATATTGCCTAATATGGAATATACAAAGGAACAATTATTTTTCATTGGCTACGCACAGGTATTTTTAATAGGCTTCCTCCTAATATTTATAGAGGGGACTGTAGTTTTATTACAAATAAATTTGATTAGGAGTTTTGGTAATTATGTTCAAAATATCAGTACATTTATGATTATATCTCATCTCATCTAGTCACTTTTCATTTTATATTCATCGTACTATTTTATCAAATATTTTATACATATTAAAAGTTATTTACTTATAAACAGGAATACTGCGCAAACATTCGACCAAAAACTGAGATTATTGCCACATTAAGTGAAAACCATTCACCTTCAAAATTTAGGTATTTTTTATTCATGTTGATTGCATTTTATTTATGCGTATAAGCTATTTTGAAGAAAAGACGATTTATTGATTAAAGATTATGTTAAGTTGTTGCCCATTAAAAATTAAAATATTGTTTAAAAAATATTTAATAATTTTATGTTTACAAATAGTAATTAAAACTTGTATACAATATTTAGTAATTTAGTTTTAAATTTTTAATTTATAATTATTTAAATTATGTTTTAAAAAAATAGTATTTATTTGCTGTAAAGTTAAGTAACAAGTTGAAAGGTCTATTTCGAAAAGTTATAAAAAAAAATTTTAAGAAAATGTGTTTTGATTATTATTCTCGAACTTATTTTTAAAGATTTATACAGTTATAAAGTTGATATGTTAAATAGTACTTAAGTTATAAAATACTTTGCTAAAATCTGCTTTCAACAGACATCTTTTTAAAATAAGCGCTTGAGTGGCTGATCAAAATATGTTTTCTCAAAACATTTTTTTTTTTTTCGGTACTTTTCAAAATAGATCCTTTAATTACTTAACAGATTTTTTTTGCATTTTTATATTAGCTTAAATGAGGCCATTAGCATATTAAAGTTTATTATTATTATTATAATTATTATTATTTTCAGGGTAATTGGAACCTTATCTAATTCAGAAGAATTTGCGAAAGCTTTTCGATGTCGAGAAAAATCAAAAGAAATAAATAACGGAAAACGATTTAACATGGATCCTGAGAATAAATGTGTAGTCTGGTAAAAAATTACGCTAAAAATTACGCTAAAAATTACGCTAAAAAATTACGCTAGCATTTAAAGATTGTAAATATTTGAATAAATATAATTTTCTAATCATCATTTTTTTATTTACTTGTAAGTTTCAAATTAGAAAGTTTTGCCGAAATCTGCGGTCATTGTACAGTGGAACGGTTACATACAAAAGGGTAGCCAAACTTATTTTCTTAATACCTCCACAAAGTTATTGTTATTTTTGAAAAATTCATATACTAAAATATATATGTCCAAAATTTCACAATTTAATTCGTAGTTTTAGAGGATCATAACTTTGTAGCATAGGTGCTCATAAGATAAAAGTTAACATACAAGAAATAAGTTGTGAATTCTTTTGGGATAAGTTTTTAAATCATCTTGTAATAAAACTATATACTCATTTCATTAATCAATTTTAGATTTATAAATTTTTTGATTTTTTGACAACTACATTTGTTTTTTTATTTAGGACTTGTGTCGTATTTATGAACATGCTTATCAGGGTTTTATCTTATAGATTAATGCCGGACCTTTAGAGGATATATATTGTAATAGCAGTTGCAATTTACAAAGCTCATCTGCCATTCTAGTGTGGTTCAGCATGAGTACTGGGCCTTCTACCCTAAATAAAGTGTTTAAACACTGAAAATCAGTATTCAGTTTTTATTCATTATCTTTGATCTAAACTGTCTTAAATATTAGATAAATGTTGCTGCTATTATTTCTGCATTTATTATATACTGATTAATTCTGCCATTTATTAACAAAGTATTTTTGCTATGTAAATGCACTTTGTTACACCCCAGCCTTGTGTATCAGAATGATTTTAACTTTAAATCATGATTTAAAACTAAATTAGTAAGAGAAAGTTTTAATATTAAATAATTCTATCTTACAATTGATTATTTTTGGGTATTGGACTTTTTGAATGGCACCAAACAAGTATAATTTAGTTTTACAAAAATGTATTTGTAAAGGTTATAAGAAAGGATTCAAACAACAAGAAATGCCGCAATGCACACCATTAACAATACAATAGTCAAATAATTCAGCCATGGCTAGGCTATCCTACACACACCCAATTGAGGGAGGGGGGCTAGCGAAATTAGGAGGCCCATTTGCAAATTTACGAGCCTGTTTACAAACTTGAGGAACTTTTATTTGTTTTTAGTAACACTTAGTAGAAAAATATTTAGGACTTTAGCGCCCTAATGACATGTTTTGTGAGGGGTCTCCGATCCACTAGCCACGGCACTAAATTAAACAATTTGACAATGACAATTCTTTAGAAACAGAACATAAAGGCAAAAAACGAAAAATATTTTGCAGACTAAGAAATTATTCGTCACGTTAAATAGAATTCTTTTGACTGCGCTAATGGTATCATTTAAAAACGGAATCTTAATTTTCACTAAATAAGCAAGACTTATGGTCAAGCATGTTTGTGGAAAAAATGCAACAACTTGGTTTGTTTGTCTGGTTTAGGAGGAGTTTGATCTATCATTCGAATAAATGACATTATGGATCATTCAAATAATATATACTAACTGTCATAACCCGTACAATACAGGTCGTGGTAAGTCTAATCCACAACCGACTGTTTCCAAACTTAGATCTTTATATTTTAACTTATTTTAGTAAAAGGCAAAAAATAAATGAATTTAAAATTCTGGTAGTTGGTGAAATTCGAACTTTTTTGCAAACCGTAAATCTATTGCTTGTTAAATTAAAATTTATTTAAAAGAAAAGAGTCTAATTTAAATAAAATATATCGAATACCATTATATTTAATTTAAAAAATTGATGCGCATATGATTTTAATATCATGACTGCTGTGCTCATTAAATTGTCTTGGTTCGCTAAAAATATACACAGTTTGCATTTTACTAACTAAAGTTCTTGCCTTCTGGTTAATTTTTAATCTACTATAGTTTACAACTATTTAGTATTTTGTAAATGGAAACCGTCTTAATCGTACAAAAGATAACAGTAAAAATGGTTTCCATTCACATATAAAAAGATAACGGAAATATAAAAAAACAAAGCAAAAATAGCCAATATATCCATGTAAAACAATAATTCCAGTCATAAAAAAAATAGAAATTTATTTGAGAAACAAACAAAAAAATTTTCTTGATAAAATAAAAAATAAACAAAAAAAAAAAAAAAAAAAAATTAGATTCAAATATACTGATAAAAACAATTTAATTTGAAACATTCTTTCATTATTATATATCTTTTAGTAAATGATATGAAGATAATCAAGCTTCGTTTTAATTTTTTGAATACTATCAACATTCAGAACATTTCTTAAATTCTGCTATGTAGGAGCTTTCAAAATCAGTCACAGGAGAAGGAATTCGACCTAAGATGGTACAAAATTATTATTGAATACACTTAATACACATTAATTTGTTATGTACTCTATTTATTTATTTATATGAAAACTCAAAAATGTGACTAAACAGATAACAAATAAGAAACTTACTTAGTGAGGATGTTTATCTTTTGTGAAAGTTTCAAGATTTATTGTTGCAAGTTTGGATTAATTAAAAATAAATGATCACAATAAGATATACCTTTGTTTTTATTTGAAAAATGAATCTTTAGCATTCAGTGAATGATTATATGTAGCCAGTTTCAGAAATGAAACTACCCAATAATCATTTTAAATTAAAGACCTCCACGTGAAAGTAAACCAAGTCATCTAATCTTTCAACACAAAACAACACAACAACAACATCAAAAAATTAACAAATAACATAATATATAACAGTATACTCTAAATGACTCAAACCTTAAAGGGGAGCAAGAAATTAGCTTGTTAGAGAATGCTAGAGTTATTGGCAGTTATATACAGTTATATAGAGTTATAATCTAGTAACTAAAGTATCCAATAATGGCAATAAATAAAATTAAATTTTAGAATAAGTTTAAGTTAAGGGTTCTTGAGTTGTCTAGAGTTTATTGTTCATATTTAAACTAGTAAAAGCACACGCATGGAAACACTAACAAAATATAAAACCATACAGCCTTACATAACACATAATAAAAACATACATTAGCACATTATATGACACCAGCACTCGAAATAACAGCCTATCAACGATCAATGATCTGCTATTTTTAGGTAAATTTTGAAAAATTCAAGGGAAAATAACCTGTTTTTGTGAAAAAATTACACTTGTTCGGCAAGCTTTGAAAAACTATTTCGAGCGCTGTGACACTTAAAAATTCTTGTCAAAAACTATAAATCAAGAACATTTACAAATATAACATTTGTGAAATTTTTATTCAATGACATATCGTGTTTATGCATGTGTATATGCAAATGACTTGTTATGCATGTGTAATCCAAATACGCACGAATGAGTAAGCAGCAGTAAATTAAACATTATTTGTATGATTATTTAGTTTGTATGCTCCAGTTAATTGTGTCATCATCATTTTTCTCCTCTACTTCTGCCATGTTTTTAAATGCAGAAGCAAATGGTTTTTTTTGACTATTTAAAGTTTGTAAGAGTTGCATTAACTCATTTATACAACCATCATTACCCGGTTGCTCCATTCTAAATGACAATGCTACATTAAGATCATATACATTTAACTGACAATACGTGGGTAGAAAACCTTCTTCAGGCCATAAATTTCCAACTTGATTCAAAATTTGCCCATAAACCCAAAAACAGAAAGGGCAATTATTTGAGGGGTGAGGTATTTTGGCTGTAAAGGAAGCAAAAGATAAAAAGGAATTATATTTTTCATTTATACGGCAGTTTATTTCAGCTCACCTAGGTTTATCTCTTTTATTTCAACGACAATTTGCCTCAGTTAGCCTAATCTCATCTCATTCATTTTGGCAACAGTTAAATTCTTTTTGCCTAGTCTGATTTCTTTAATTTCAACGAAGTCTTATAATTTTACTTCTTAATTATCAAACATAACTAAGCATCAAAGGAGTGTGTAAAAATGGTGTTTAATATAATAAAATTTGCACTTTTATTTCAAGATTGAACTTTTAGTTTTCTTTCTTAACTTATCTTAAATAAAGTGTAAGCAAATAAAACAGAGTATAATATAATAATCTAATTATATTCTTTCTCTACTATTAGTCATATTTAAATTTGATGTTTTAAAATATAATAGCAATGTGTAAAGATAATATGTTTCTATCAAGAACTTAAACTAAAGTTATAAATAAATTGATATGAAATTGATAAATTGATAACTGAGTAATGTTATATATTTAATGTAGTTATTATTAATTATTGACAAAATATTATTAGTATTTGATCAAAAAAACAACAAAAAATAATTGTAAAAGTTACAAAATTTTTACAGATAAGAACTCATAAAAAACTCATAATCTGCTCAGCAAATATTGCTAACATTAAATGGTGAAATGTAATACTTCGTCACAAAACCCCTTTCATTACATTGCAACGCATTTAATGCGAGATTTGCAATTAATAAATAAATTAAAAAAATACTATTAAAAAAAAACCCTCTGTAAACAAACATATTTGCTTCAAGTGAAGAAACTTGAAAATATTGAAACTTCTTGAACCGTTTTAGTTTTTTATATATATTTAATATTTTAAAGAAAATAGGTCAATATATAAAACATTAAAGTATTATTATGGAGAAAACATTCTCTATACAAAAAATCCTAAAAATTTAATGTAAGTTACTAAAACTTACGAAACACTTTGTTCACATATCTTTATAAAAAAAAAACAATAATTTTAAGTTAAACATATTTTCTAAAGGAAATAAAAACTCTTAAATGTTTTACTTGGGAGGAGCTATTTGAAAAAAGGAGTATTTTTATCTTTTAAACAAATTTACTTAAAAAGTAACAGTATAAAAAATTTTTAATGAAGTATAAATTTGTTTAATAAAATTTACTTAAAATTATAAATAATAAAAAACTATATATCTTTTCAACATTTCTTATAAACCAATTCTTTCAACAATATTTTTTTTTTTCACTTTTTATGACTACACTAACAACAAACAGATTTAATTTATGTGTTTCATCATGACAGTACACAATCTTGCTCCCAGCAAAGCCATGTCACATTATA